ATGAATACGGGTTAATGAATAAGGGTTTGAAAAGGAGTGAGGGTTTATGAATTAGAGTTTATCAATTAGGGTTAATGACAAAGGGTTTGGAAGTGCGTGAGGGTTAATGAATTAGGGTTTACGAATTAGGGTTTATGAATTAGGGTTTATGACTAAGGGTTAATGAATAAGGGTTAATGAATAAGGGTTTACGAATGAGGGTTTATGACTAAGGGTTTTTAAGTGCGTGAGGGTTTATAAAATAAGGGTTAATGAATTAGGGTTTATGACTAAGGGTTTGTAAGTGCGTGAGGGTTTACAGGTTGAATAGGCCAGTGAGAATCGAAGGCAGCAGAATGTGAGACAAGACGAAAGGTTTCTTTATGTTTGAAGTCGCAGTTCTTTAAAGCTCTCTCGGGTGCAACAGCAGAGCGTCCTGCTGCTAATCGCATCCCCAGCATAACATTTAATGCTGTGTTCCACCTATGATGACCGAAGTAAAGAGAAACGCCTTTAGAACTAACTAATAAACCGCTGAATATCAAACACACACACACACATATATATATATACATATATATATATATATATATCACACATACTCCACCGATACTTTCTTAGTTTTCACGCCTTCTATTTTTTATTTTATTTTATTTTGTTTTATTATGTTTTGTTATGTTTTGTTATATTTTATTATATTTTATTATGTTTTATTATGTTTTATTATTTTATGTTATATTATATTTATATTATATTTATATTATGTTCTGTTATATACAGTTATATTTAATTAAATTATATGTAATTTAATTTAATTCTATTGAAGTAAATTAAATTGTTATATAGTTAAGGTGTACGATATTACGTAGTTAAAATAATATAAAAAATAAAAATAACAAAAATAAAATAAAATAAAATAAAATACAAGAGAAAATATATTTAATACAATCAAATAAACAAATATACAAACAATGACAGGGCCTGCATGCATGCATGCATGCATGCATGCAAATGTGTTGCATGCATGCATGCATGCATGCATGCATGCATGCAACATACACGTACACCTCAACGAATAATAGAAGTAATAGAAATGCATAGAGGCAAAGACTATGCAAATTAAAGAGAGACAAAAAAGACAAAGAGATGTGCGGAGACAGAATTTCAAACAAACGGAAGAAGAGACGCTTCACTGCTCCAAGTTCATGCTTTAGGGTTTAGGGTTTAGGGTTTAGGGTTTAGGGTTTGTTACTTGTCATCCTCAGCACCTGCTCTGCCCATCGCAGAACCCCCAGCAGCCGTCACGCCTGCAAACAAATGCATGCAGCAGCAGCAGCAGCAGCAGTCGCTAATTAGATTGTTTGTCCTGCTCATCCTTCTGCTGCTGCTGCGGTTGCTGCAGTTGCTGCTGTTGCTGCTGCTGCTGTTGCTGCTGCTGTGACCCAAGCGGCGGCTGAGCTATGCATATCGGCAGCAGGACGATTTGCATGCGCACAGCAGCAGACAGCAACAGCAACTGCATGCGGAAGCGGCAGCAGCTGATGCAGCAGCAGCAGCAGTTGCTGCTGCTGCTTCTGCTTCGGCTGCTGCTGCAGCAGGATTGTATTGCAGACCTCTGCGTCTCCTTAGCATGGGTTTGTTGATGTACATCTTCAGCCTGTAGGTGTTGTCCCTTTTGCTGAGGAAGCAAACAGCAGCAGTAGCAGCAGCAGCAGCAGCAAGTAGTAGAGACAGCAGCAGCAGCAGCAGCAGCAGCAGCGGTAGTAGCAGTAGAGACAGCAATAGCAGCATCAGCGGTAGAGTCAGCAGGCGCAGTAGCAGTAGAGATAGCAGCAACAGCAGCAGCAGCAGCGACAGCAGCGGCAGTAGCAACAGCAGCAGCAGCAAAGGCATCCGGCAGGAAGGCTGACCCCCAAGGCAGAGGAGCAACAAACCCTAAACCCTAAACCCTAAAACGACTTACAGAGTTGCAATGTGTCGCCGCCACAAAGGTAGGCTGCTCGAGTCTGTCTGCTCTCAGCAGCAGCAGCAGCAGTAGCAGCAGCAGCAGCAGCAGCAGCAGCAACAGTAACGGCAGAAGCAGCAGCAGCAGCAGAACCAAGAATCGATTCAGGAACAGCAGGAAATAAGACTTTTGGGTGTACATTTAGGGTTACGGGTTTGGGGTTGAGGGTTTAGGGTTTAGGGTTTAAAGGGGATTAGGGTTTAGGGCTCAGGGTTTAGGGTTTAGGGTTTAGGGTTTAGGGTTTAGGGTTTAGAGCTTACTTTGCCTCCAGGGAAATTCGCCGCATCTCCCGGCAGCGGAGCAGAGCCTCTGTCCGTGCCTTCGAGGGCTGAAGCGCATAAACCCTAAACCCTAAACCCTAAACCCTAAACCCTAAGCCCTAAACCCTAAACCCTAAACCCTAAACCCTGAGCCCTAAACCCTAAACCCTGAGCCCTAAGCCCTTGAAATTTAGGCGGCATTTGCTGAGCCTTAGTCCCTATCCCCCCACCCTAAAGTAAGCAATCAAGCTAAAACCCTCAACCCTACTCTTAAACCCTAAACCCTAAACCCTAGTGGTGCTTCGGAATAGCCCTGTGTTGCCTCCTCAACCTTGAGGCAATGAAATGCTAGGGAAGCCTGTGCTGCTGCTGCTGCTGCTGCTGCTAGTGTTCCTGCTGCTCCTGCTGCCGTACCTGCTCCAAAGGACGCTGCTGCAGCTGCAGCAGCAGCAGCAGCTGCTGCTGCTGCTGCTGCTGTTTGGGATGCGGCACGATTAGCTAGCGCAATACAGTCTCCTGGTGTTGCCGCTGCAGCAGCAACAACAGCAGCAGCAACAGCAGCAGCAACAATAACAGCAAACAACCTTGATGTGCATGCAGTAAAAGGAGCACCCGGCAGCAGCAGCACAAGCAGCAGCAACACCATATACAGATGCAGCAGCAGCAACAACTGCAGCAACAGCAACAACAACAGCTGTAGTAGCTACAGCAGCAGCATCCTCAGCAGCAGCAGAAGCAACAGCAAAAGGATAAACTGTAACAACAGCAACAACAACAACAGCAGCAGCGCCAGCAACAACAGCAGCAACAGCATCAGCATCAACAGCAGCAGCAGCATCAACAACAGCAGCAGCATCAACAGCAGCAGCATCAACAGCAGCAGCAGCATCAACAGCAGCAGCAGCATCAACAGCAGCAGCAGCAGCAGCAGCAGCAAGTTGTGGTGTACCTTCAGGGTCTTCTAAATCATGTTTAAGTCTGCTGAATTTCCTTTCTATCTCTTCTAAGCGCTCTGCACATTGCTGCAGCTGCTGCAGCTGCTGCAGGTGCTGCTGCTGTTCGTCTTGCAGCAGCTGCTGGTGCTGCTGCTGCTGTACTTGTCTCCTCTCAGCATGCTCCGCCTGCTGCTGCTGCTGCTGCTGTTGCTGCTGTTGCTGCTGCTGCTGCTGCTGCTGCTGCTGCTGTTGCTGCTGCTGCTGCTGCGGCAGGGGTGTTTTGTAGTTGTCGTTCGGAGCTCCTCCTGCGCGTTCCGCAGCCTTGTAATACTTCATCATATTTCTTCATGCAAACCCTAAACCCTAAACCCTAAACCCTACTCGGGGTTAAGCACTATTAGGCGAAAGGAAATGAGGGTGTGTGCAGGGAACTGCGTTGTTTCGGTGTATCCTAGGGTTTAGGGTTAAGGGTTTAGGGTTTAGGGTTTAGGGTTTGACCTGCGAGTTGCTGCAGCGGCGTTCTATTTTGGCTGCTGTCTGCAGCAGCAGCAGCAGCATCAATACCGAGTAGAGCAAGAAACTGCGTTGAGTGTTTAGCTGCGAGTCTGAAGTCTCTAAGAAATAATCTTTTGCTGCAGTCGGGCAGCTGAGTTGCAAGCGAAGAAAAGACGCTGCCTATACACCCCAAGGAGACAGGCGAATTTTCTTCGCCAACTAATATCCTTCTGCTTGCTTCTGCTGCTCGCACCCAAGCAGCAAAATCATCAAACCCTACGCTGTCTGCATACACCGCAGGGTTCAGTCGCCGCTGCCGCTGCTGCTGCTGCTGCTGCTGCTGCTGCTGCTTCTGTCGAGGCTGCCGAACAGGAGAAAGAGAAACAGGAGAAGTCTGCTTCTGCTGCTGCTGCTGTTCCTGCTGCTGCTGCTGCTGCTGCTGCTCCTGCTGCTGCTGGTTACTAGAATGCAAAGAAAGGGTTTGCTGCTGCATGTCACCATTCTCAGCAGCTGGCTTCTGCTGCTGCACTTCCTCTTGCTGCTGCTGCTGCAACTGTTGCTGCACCTGCTCCTGCTGCTGCTGCTGCTGCTGCTGCTGCTGCTGATCATCATCATCAACATCAGCAGCAGCAGCAGAAGGGCTTGAGGGTTCTAATGGTGTTTGCTGACTGGGTGAAGAAGACTCTGCAAGCGAACTGCTGTCTTCTTCTTCTAGTTCGTAATCTGATAGACTTGCTCCTGTCCCCGTATATCTGAATAAACAACAAATCCGCGGTTTAGGGTTTAGGGTTTAGGGTTTAGGGTTTAGGGTTTTAGAGTTTAGTGTTGTGGGTATTAGCTTTAAGGGCTTGGGTTCAGCGGTTTAGGGTTTAGCGGTTTAGGGTTTAGCGGTTTAGGGTTTAGGGTTTAGGGTTTCGGAGTTCGCAGAAGATACAGACAAAGACAAAGAAGGAGACAGAAAAAGAGACAAAGAGACAGAGACAGAGAAGACAGAGACAGAGACAGCAAAGGAGACAGCGAAGAGACAGATAAAGAAGAGACAGAAAGAGACAATGAAGAGACAGCAAAAGAAACAGAAAGAGACAGCGAAGAGACAGATAAGGAAGAGACAGGTGAAGAAGAGACAGCAAAAGAGACAGAAAGAGACAGATAAAGAAGAGACAGATAAAGAAGAGACAGATAAAGAAGAGACAGATAAAGAAGAGACAGCAAAAGAGACAGCAAAATGGACAGCAAAAGGGACAGCAATAGGGACAGCAAAAGAGACAGCAAAAGAGACAGCAAAAGCGACAATGAAGAGACAGCAAAAGAGACAGCAAAAGAGACAATGAAGAGACAGCAAAAGAGACAGTGAAGAGACAGCAAAAGAGGCAATGAAGAGACAGCAAAAGAGACAATGAAGAGACAGACTCGGGGTTGAGTATGCGAAAGGCTAAATCGAGTTTATCTTCTTCCTTGCCGCACATCATTGTACCCAGCGCAACCGCAAACTCAGTAAAGTTCAGCTGCACACACACAAACCCTAAACCCTAAACCCTAAACCCTAAACCCTAAACCCTAAACCCTTATAGGCCCTTATATGCCCTTATAATCCCTTATATACCCTTATAAACCCTTATAAACCCTAAACCCTTATAAACCCTAAACCCTAGGGTTTGAACATTATGAACATGTTGCGCCTCCCGAATTTAAGGGCTATAGAGTGCAGTAGAATCCCTTACGAGGGTTTCGGGTTTACTATTAGGGTTTAATAGGGTTTAGTAGGGTTTATTAGGGTTTATTAGGGTTTATTAGGGTTTATTAGGGTTCATTAGGGTTCATTAGGGTTTATTAGGGTTTCAAGTAATTTCTCAGGCTTTATTGAGGTTATTGAGGGTTTACTAAGGGTTTCGTAGGTTAGTTAAGGGTTTATTAGGATTTATAGGGGTTTACTAAGGGTTTGCTACGGGTTTATTAGGGTTTACTAAGGGTTTATTAGGGCTCCTTAGGGTTTATCAGGTTTCTTTGAGAGTTTATTAGGGTTTATTAGGGTTTATTAGGGTTTATTAGGGTTTCCTAAGGGTTTGTAAAGTGTGTTAAGAGGTTTACTAGGGTTTATTAGGGTTTATGAGGGTTTATTAGGGTTAGCCAGGGTTTCCTAAGGGTTTATTAGGGTTTACTAAGGGTTTATTAGGGTTTATTAGGGTTTATTAGGGTTTATTAGGGTTTACTAGGGTTTATTAGGGTTAGCTAGGGTTTCCTAAGGGTTAGTAGAGTGTAATAAGGGTTTATTAGGGTTTATGAGGGTTTATGAGGGTTTATTAGTTGGTTGGGGTGTATAGGCAGGTGTACTTGTTTGTTGTGGTCTCTGTCAAATGCTTTAAAAAGTCTATCTGCTATTTGCGTCTCCTGAAGCATCGACAAAACCCCTAAAATTTCACAGAACTCTGAAAAACGCATTATGCCGCTCGGAGCCACGTGACGAAACCTGAACGCAAACCCTAAACCCTAAACCCTAAACCCTTATAAACCCTTATAAACCCTTAAAAACCCTTATAAAAAACCCTTATAAAGAACCCTTATAAAAAACCCTTATAAAAAACCCTTATAAACCCTTATTAACCCTTACAAACCCTTATAAACCCTTGTAAACCCTTGTAAACCCTTATAAACCCTTACAAACCCTTATAAACCCTTGTAAACCCTTATAAACCCTTATAAACCCTTGTAAACCCTTATAAACCCTAGTAAACAGTAATAAATAATAATAAATAATAATTCATAGTAATAAAGAATAATCAACAATAATAAACAATAATAGACAGTAATAAATTAATACTAAACCCTAATAAACCCTAATCAAAAACCCTAGTAAACCCTTATATACCCTAATAAACAATATTAAACAATAATAAACAATACTAAACCCGAATAAACCCTCATCATAAACCCTCATCATAAACCCTCATCATAAACCCTTATAATAAAACCTCATCATAAACCCTTATAATAAACCCTTATCACAAACCCTTATAATAAACCCTTATAATAAACCCTTATCATAAACCCTGAACACCACAGAGATGATATAAACGCAGAAAGCCTAAACGTGAAGTCGTCGATACTTTTCGTGCAGCGAGCAGCTGTAAAGCGTAAACCCTAAACCCTAAACCCTAAACCCTTGCCTGGCATAGAGGAGTTCGATGTCTCTAGGACTGAGGAGAGTTCTGCTTTGTATTTCGATGAGGGTTTCGTTGTTTAGTTTATGAGGCAGCTTCTTTAGCCTAAGCGCACCCCTGCGCTTCGGAGTGAAGAAGTTATTCATCTTGCGGTGTACGTACACCTCAGGTTGCGTTGTAGAGGGCCCCGCAGCAGGGAAGCAAGAGCAAGGGTTTAGGGTTTAGGGTTTAGGGTTTAGCGGAAGCTTAACGAGGGTTTAGGGTTTAGGGTTAAGTCGAGCGGCGGGCGAGACTGCTGCTGCTGCTGCTGCTGTTGTAGGCGCTGGAGTTGTAAGGTTTTAAAGTATTGTTTGCATTTAATTCTTATTTTAATGCCTCAATAAAACAGATATAATGCAAAAAGAAGAAAAGAAAAAGAAAAAATACAATAAACCCTCGATGCCTCGCACCAGCCCTCAGTGGTAGCTGCCTGTACACCTGAATGAGTTGTTTTGATTTGCGCCTAGTTCGCGGGTTTTCTTGTGTTTGTTTGCATAATTAATAGAATTTTCATTGAAATATAAACAAGAAACAGCTCCTTTAATAACCTAAACCGTCTACTACCGCAGCAGCAGCAGCAGCAGTAGCAGCAGCAGCAATAACGGCAGCAGCAGCAGCAGCAGCAAAGGGCCCAAGGGCCGGTGGTTCTGTTGATGCTGCAGCTATTGAAATACTCCTCTAAAGAATAAATAATCATTTTAATTAAATAAAAAACATTAATTTATTGCGTTTTGCAGCAGAAACAAAGACAAGAAGAAACTCAGCTCCGTACACTCAGCTCAGCTGCATAATCGAGCTGCCTATACACCGCAACCGCTGTCCCTGCTCACGTTCTTCCTCCCCTCAGCTTAAAAGTTAAGTACAGCTATTCTTATTTGCATGCAGCAGCACGACATTCCCCCAACTGCCTATACACCCCAAGCCGCCCCACAACTCGCAGCAGCAGCAGCAGCAACAACAACAGCACACAGCTGTCTGCTGCTGCTGCTCCTGCTGCTGTTGCTGCTGCAGGGGGGATAAAACGAGGGAAGATAACAACAAAAAAGGCACACAGAAGAAAATGCATGAGCCGCTTCTCCGCAGCCCCCTACAACCCCGAGCCTAAACCCTAAACCCTAAACCCTAAACCCTAAACTCCAAACCCTAATTATATTGGCTCGTCACTTCCAGCGACTCCTTCCGGTGCCCCGACCGCAAATATCAGACCCTCACCCTTGCTGCTGCTGCTGTTGCTGCCGTTGCTGTTGCTGCTGCTGTTGCTGCTGTTGTTGCTGCTGCTGCTGTTGCTGCTGCTGTTACTTGCAGTAGTTTCTGCTGCTGCACTCTCATAGCTCGTCTCTCTTTTCATTTTCGTTTGCTGCTGCTGCATCGCCCTGCTTCTCCTCGTCTGTTTGTGTGTCTCCTTGCTGGCCAGTCTCTGCTTCTTGCTGCTGCTCCTGCTTCTCTTCCTCCTGCTGCTGCTGCTGCTGCTGCTGCTGCTGCTGCTCTCCCTCCTGCTCCTGCTGCTGCTGCTGCTCATCACCCTCTTTCTTTTCTTCTTTCTTAGGGTTTGATGTAGTCGTAGTTGTAGTGGGTTTAGGTATTGCTTCTAAGGATTTTAATTTACTTTGAAGCTCTTTAAGCCGCTGCAGCACTTCTGCTTCAGTGTATAGAGGTGCTAGCAGCAGCGATCGCTGCTGCTGCTGCTGCTTAATATCCTCCCACCACTGCAGCAGCTGATTTCGAGCTGTACGTACACTTGAAATCTTATCCTTAGGCAGCCACGGGCGTAGCGAAGCAAACTGATCAAGCCTTGCTGCAGCATCTAGCAGCAGCTGGTCTGTCTTTTGCTGCAGGCTCTCTCTAACATTTAACTCTCTTGCTCTGAAGTAAGCAGGCTCAAGTGTATCTTTAAGTGTGTCAAGCTTTTGCTCAACTGCAGCACGACCTGCTGCTGCAGCATCGCCGTACACCCAATCTTCATCCTGCTGCAGCTGCTGCAGCAGCTGCTCTCGGAACGTCTCATCCGTTACTTCATCAAGAGAGCCGTCTCTTATACTACCCCTTGCTTTATAAATAAAAGCTTCTAAATTATTTAATGCTTCATGCAGCAGCTGCGCTTCTCTGTCCTTCTCTTCCTGCTGCAGCAGCAGCTCTTTCAACTGTCTCCTTTCTGCAGCAGATAGAGGGACTGGCAGAGACTCCTTGCTGCTTACAGATAAAGATTTGCGAGCTGTCAACACCACTCGCTTCCTCTTCTTGCTGCTGTCTCCGTTGCTGCTGCTGCTGCTGTCGCTGCTGCTGCTGTCGCTGCTGCTGCTGTCGCTGCTGCTGCTGCTGCTGCTGCTGTCGCTGCTGCCTGCGGTTCCTGCAGCGCAAGCAGGGTCTTTGGGGTCCTTGCACTTCTCTTCCTTGTCTGCTGCTTCTCCTTCTGCTGCTGCTTCTCCTGCTGCTTCTCCTGCTGCAGCAGCAGCAGGTGTTTGCTTCTCGCTGTCTTCAGTGTATGCTACGCGTTCACGTACAAGCGCTGCTGTCTTTAATTCAATAACTCCAGCAGCATCAACTGAGAAGATAAGCTCTGCTTTTGTTGCATCTTCGTCTCCTTCCTGCTGCTGCAGTTGCTGCTGCTGCTGCTGCTGCTGCAGCTGCTGCTGCAGCTGCTCCTGAGCTGCCTGTACACCTGAAATAGAATGCGTCGAAAGAACATTACTGTCTTCTAGAAGCTGCACAGTAAAATCTTTCTCAGCTTTAATTAAAACCTTCTTGCTGCCTCCGAGCCTTGCATAAGGTTTAATAAGCACCTTTTCATAGTGCTGCTCTTCCTGCTGCTGCTGCTGCTGCTGCTGCTGTTGCTTGTCTGGGTCTTGTATGTCTAGGAAGCGTAGGGTGTAGGTCTGTGGCGCCCCGTCCTTCAGCAGCAGCTTCCTCACTCTAAATGTTGCTGTTGAATTAGCAGCAACAAAAGCAGCACCTGTCGTCATTGCTTCGTCGCCGTTCAGCAGCGTTTGAATAGACTCTTTGTCTCCTTTTAAGTTCTGGATCTCTAGCAGCACTCGCGGCACTCTCCAGCCTCCTCCGACAAGCTCAATAGCTTCAATACCCTTCATTGCTGCTGCTGCTGCTGCTGCTGATGCTGCTGATTCTGCTGCTGGGTCTGAGTCTGAGTCTGACTTTGCTGCTGGTTCTGGTTCTGCTGCTGCTGCTGTTGCTGCTGCTGCTGCTGTTGCTGCTGCTGTTGCTGTTTGGCGTAGCTGCTCAAGGAGACTGCTCTTCTCTAGCATAGCTTCAAGGTCTTCTCGCTGCAGCTGTCTCTTCAAGTCTTTTTGTTTAAAGAAACCCTCTATAGAGACAGCAGCAACACGATTAGTGCTTAACACCTTCTTTGCTGCTGCAGCACGGATCTCCAGCTTCTTCAAAGCCCGAGGAGAAGCAGACAACTCAAAACCCTTATTCTCCGCTTCAAATCCCCTGTACATACACCCCAATCATCATAACCCTAAACCCTAAACCCTAAACCCTAAACCCTAAACCCTAAACCCTAAACCCTAAACCCTGAATAAACATATCGGAAGCAAATTCTATATTATACGCATTAACATACACTTGAATCATAATAAGCCCCTAAATAATAAACCCTAATAAATAATAATAAACCCTAATAAATAATAATAAACCCTAAACCCTAAAACCCTAAACCCTGAATAAATATATCGGAAGTAATAATAAACCCTAATAAACAACAACAAACCCTAACACGCAATAACAAAACCCTAATAAGTAATAATAAACCCTAAATAAATAATAATAAACCCTAATGTACATCAGTAAACCCTAAACCCTAATAAACAATAATTAACCTTAACAAACACATTAGCAAACCCTAACAAATAATAATAAACCCTAACAAGCCCTAATACTTCCTAGTAAACCCTAGAACCCTAGGGTATACTCTAGTAAACCCTAAACCCTCGCTATCGTAGTAAGCCAGCGTACTAAACCCTCGAGAGCAAACCAAAACCCTAGAGCAGAACAACAAACCCTAAACCCTAACGAACAATAAACCCTCATAAACCCCAGTAAACCCTAAAACCCTAGGGTTTAGGGTTTACAAGACCCACTGGCGAAGGGCTTCTGCTACCAGCACATCAACAGCGCGTCCTCCTCCTGCTGCGCTGCTGCTGCAGCTAATAACAGACACCTGAGGCACTCCCTGCTGCTTCCCGTTGCTGCTGCTGCTGCTGCTGCTGCTGCTGCTTCCTGTTTTAAAAGAGAGAACAGCTGCGTCTACTGTGCTGCTGCCAACATTGAGTATCATCTTAACAACTTCTGCATCTGCTGCAGCAGCATTATCTGCTGCTGCTGCAGTTGATGTTGCAGTTGCTGTTTTAGCTGCTGCTGCTGCTGCTGCTGCTGCATCATATTTATCTAAGGCGTGCTGCACTCCTGCTGCTGCACCGCTAGAGACAAACCCTAGCAGCTTAAACCCAGCAATCTCAACACTGTCTCTAAGTGCTGCTCGCTGTCTCTGATTGTATATACAAGGTATAGTAATAACAACACCAAGAGCAGCAGAAGAAGGAAGCCCTGCTGCTTTTGCTGCTGCTTGTCGTATATGAGACAGCACAGAAGCAACAAGCAGCTCAGGCGGCAGCAGCAAATCGTCGCGAGCAGCAAATATAATACCTCCTCTCGGTGACACAAACGCTTGATAAGGGTAATAAACAGCAGAAATACCGCCTGGCCATACACCTAGTTCGGGGTGTATAGGGATCAAACCTTCTTTGCTAGTGCAGATACCGTTGTTGCAGTGCCCTGTTGCTGCTGCTGCTGCTGCTGCAGCAGCAACTGCAGCAGAAGGTGTTGTTGCTGCTTCATTCTCTTTATCTTTATCTCCTTCATCTCCTATATACCCTATTTCTTCTGCTGCTTTACCTAGAAAAAGAGAAGCAGCAACAAACACTCTACTAGGGTTCTTATGTGCTTGAGACAGTGCATCTTCAGCTACACCTCTTGTCTCGTCCCCGACAAAAGAGATAGCATTTGGGATCTTCCTGCTGCTGCTGCTGCTGAGAAGCAGCTCCATACGTTTACCCGGAGCAACAACAGCAGCTTTAATAAATTCGGATCCTAAATCTATGCCTAACACTTGTGCAGCAACTTCGTGCTGCTCCTGCTGCAGCACCTGCTGCTGCAGCAGCAGCAGCAGCAGCAGCACCCATACATATCCACCTCGTAAACCACGCCCCACACATAAAAGGATTGGCTGCAACGCCATCCTCATATCATCAACAAACAAACAAATCTTCCTGCTGCTGCTGCTGCTGCTGCTGCTGCTGCTGCTGCTGCTGCTGGCGCTGCTGCTCCTGCTGGCGCTGCTGCTGCCTGCAGCAGCTGCTTCCTAAGCAGCACAAAAATAAATATTATGAAAAGGCTTGTCTGAGAGGGAGAAAGAGACACCCCCAAGGTGTCTGTACAGCTGGGGAACGACGCACGACACACCGGGGCGGCGCAGCGGCTTAGGGTTTAGGGTTTAGGGTTTAGGGTTTAGGGTTTAGAGGCAGAGACACCCCAAAGTAGCCACTTTAAAAGACAAAACAATTTCTTTTCCCCTCAAAGACGCACAAACTAACCGAAAGACAGCAGCAGCAGCAGCAGCAGCAGCAGCAGCGCAGCACAGCTCCGCCGCCTTCGCTCTCCACCGCATGCAGCAGCAGCGGCAACAGCAGCAGCAGCAGCAGCAGCAGCAGAACGACTAGCACTAGTAACAGCAGTAGCAGCAAAAGCTAACCCTTAGCAAAGTTTGATCTTCTGCAGCAAATCAATAATCTGTTTAGTAGACGAAGGCTCCTCTAACCCTACCAAACCCTAAACCCTAAACCCTAAACCCTAAAACCTAAACACTGAACCCTAAACCCTAAACCAGCATTACCCGCATCTGCTAGCCTACGGAGGCCCTGGAGCTATGCCTTCTGTCTTCTAAGCGTTTTAAAACGCTAAACCCTAAGCCCAAAGCCCTAAACCCTAAACCCTAAACCCTAAACCCTAAACCCTCGTCTGCAATGGAGGGAACACACGGGCTTCACTTGCAGCCTCGCCGACTCCACTCGTAGCGAGTAGGCTGCTCCTAAGCGCTTGCAGCAGCAGCAGCAGCAACAACAGCAGCGGCTGCAGCAGCAACAGCAGCAGCAGCAGCAACACCAGCAGCAACAGCAGCGGCGGAAACAGCAGCATCACCATCACCATCAGCAGCATCAGCACCATCACCATCAGCAGCATCAGCAGCATCAGCAGCATCAGCAGCATCAGCAGCATCAGCAGCAGCAGCAGCAGCATAAGCAGCAGCAGCAGCAGCAGCAATGAAGCGTCTGTTTAGTTTTGCTGCTCACCGAGGCCCGGCTTGGCATTGTCAGTTTCGGGCCGACGGAGTTTTGGCGTCGTGCGGCGCGGATGGCCTCGTGCAAATATGGGGCCGTAAACCCTAAACCCTAAACCCTAAACCCTAAACCCTAAACCCTTTTATTGAGTTTCTAACTAGACAGGAAATAAACAGGAATTAAAAACTAAATAGATCTAGAGTTTATTTTTTATCTGTTTGTCTGTCTCTTTATTTTTGTTTTCGTCTCTTCTTCTTTTTTAGTTCTCTCTTGTTTTTTTGTTTCTGCATGCAGCCTCGGGCGATCCTTCTGGAGCTTGGCAGTGCTTGGTAGGGTTTAGGGTTTAGGGTTTAGGGTTTAGAGCACCGCGCTTGACTGTGTGCACACTCTCGAGTAGTACGGGTTTAAAGTTTAGGGTTTAGGGTTTAGGGTTTAGGGTTTGTGTGCAGGTTGCTTTGGGCTGCTGCATGATGCACACTAGCGCTGCTCTTCATTAGGGTTTAGGGTTTAGGGTTTAGGGTTTGTGCGCAGGGCACTGCGGGGGACGGCGTGCACAGTCGAGCCGTCCGTTCTGTCTCCTGGAGCCCTGATGGTTGTCTCCTTGCTGCTGCTTCATTTGATGCTACTGCTTCGGTGTGGGCAGTGCAGCAGCAGCAGCAGCAGCAGCAGCAGCAGCAGCAGCAGCAGGAAGAGGGGAGCGGAAGAGACGGAGCAGAAGTTGTCTCGAGAAAATCAAAACTCCAAATTCGCCTGCTGCAAACCCTTGTTGGACATGAACATGAGGTTAGGGTTTAGGGTTTAGGGCTTAGGGTTTAGGGTTTAGGGTTTAGGGTTTGGGGTTCTCTAGGTTCCCCATCGCTTCCTGCAGGGTTTAACGCGGACTGCCGTGTACAAGGGTGGAAGGCGTTTTGGTTGAGGGTTTAGGGTTTGGAGCTTATGGTTTAGGGTTTAGGGTTTATGGCTTAGGGTTTAGGGTTTAGGGTTTAGGGTTTAGGGTTTGGGTGCAGGTGAAGGGCGTCGCATGGAATTCATCGGGGTGTCTGCTCGCGACCTGCAGCCGAGACAAAAGTATTTGGATTTACAAAAGAATGGAGGCAGACTCAGACGAAGCAGGTGTACGTACACCTGAACAGCAGCAGCAGCAGCAGCAGCAGCAGCAGCAGCAGCAGCAGCAGGAAGACGAAGAAGAGGAGTTTGTCGTTGCGTCTGTCTTAACAGGCCATTCCCAAGGTAATAAAATATTCGACAAAGGTGCTCCTTCTCGCCCCCAGCTTTAGGGTTTAGGGTTTAGGGTTTAGGGTTTAGGGTTTAGGGTTTAGGATTTGTGTTGCTGCAGATGTGAAGGCGGTGCGCTGGCACCCGAAGAAGGATTGGCTGGCCTCCGCTTCTTATGACGACACTGTTGCTATTTGGGGTTTAGGGGACGATGATTGGTACGCCTAAACCCTAAACCCTAAACCCTAAACCCTAAAGAACAAGTTTAAACCCTAAACCCTAGGTATAGGTTCTCTGTGAACGTCGCCGCAACGGCGACTTTTGCTTTTCATGGGGGTCGAGTGCAAGGGGAAAAGGGAGTTTTCTTAGGGTTTAGGGTTTAGGGTTTGGGGTTTAGGGTTTAGGGTTTAGGGTTTAGGGTTTAGGGTTTGGGGTTCAGGGTTATGCTCAAGACGTTGCGAGGACACTCTTCGACTGTATGGGCGTTGGATTTCTATGGAGATGGCAGCCGCCTCGTCTCTGCTTCAGCAGACCGAACGCTGAGGCTGTGGACCTGTACAAACCCTAAACCCTAAACCCTAAACCCTAAACCCTAACCCCTAGGAAAGCAGCGGCTGCCTTCTCTGCTGCTGCAGTACCTAGCGCTGACTTCATGCTGCTTGTAGTTGTTCTGCATCGAAAGCTTCAGGGCAGGATGCTCTTTACGGTTTAGGGTTTAGGGTTTAGGGTTTAGGGTTTAGGGTTTGGGTGGTGTGTGTAGGCCTGCCCCCCGGCGTCAGCTCGTCTCGCCGTTTGCTGAGTTTGTCTCAGTGGTGTGTGGCTCCGTTCTTAAGGCCTTTGGCGACAGCAGCAGCAGCAGAAGCAGCAGCAGAAGCAGCAGCAACAGCACCAGCAGCAGCAGCAGCAGCAACGCCTGCAGAAGCACCAGCAAAAGCAGCACCAGCAGCAGCACCACCAGCAGCAGCTGCAGCAGCAGCAGCAGCAGCAACAGCAACAGATGAAGATGCTGAGGATACACCGCAGCAGCACGCTGAAGCCTGGAGGTGTATGGCTTCAGTGCAAGGTCAGCACCAAGGGATTATATACGGGGTGTCTGTACACCCCAGCAAAAACCTGTTGGCGACGGTACGCTCAGAGAAGGGTTTAGGGTTTAGGGTTTAGGGTTTGGTGAAGGAGGCGTGCTCGGTGAAAAAGGCTGTTTAGGGTTTAGGGTTTAGGGTTTAGGGTTTGTGAATATATGTGTCTAGGCATGCGGGGATGGACACATTCGTATTTACTTGCTGACAGACACAGGAGCAACTCTTCTGCACTGCGAGGTAAGGGTTTAGGGTTTAGGGTTTAGGGTTTAGGGTTTTAGGGCCGCGGCGTAGCAGCAGCAGCTCGCGTGCACAACGAGGGTTTAGGGTTTAGGGTTTAGGGTTTAGGGTTTTAAGCTGCAGCATCCTTTGCAGGAGAAGGCGCACAACTCGGACGTCAACTCCGTTGCATGGAGCCCCGACGATGGAGAAGGTATGCTGAGGGTGTGGGGTTTAGGGTTTAGGGTTTAGGGTTTAGGCGTTTCTCTTGTGGGGTTGAGGGGGATCTGAGGTGTATGTACACCTCAACTTTTGTTTGTTTTGGGGTTTGCAGTGCTGCAATTGGCTTCAGTAGGCGACGATGGATTCCTTACTGTCTGGTCTCTAGACACCCCAATTGAAGCCTAAACCCTAAACCCTAAACCCTAAACCCTAAAAAACCCTAGCGCTTCCGCTGGGGTGGTTTAGGTAGGGCCTTGCTGAGATCGTCCTGGAGAGGAGGTGCCTATACACCTCAGCTAATGATGATGCTCATATATATATATATATATATATATATAATATAATATGTTTTATTGTTTATACCTCGGCGTGTATGTACGCCCCACAGCTCGAGGTGCATAGACACCTCAGAGTATTTGGGGTGTATAGGCAGCTCGTCTCCTTAAAGAAGATGTTCTGTCTAATAATGTTTTTATTTTTTTGATGGCGTTTGACTGCAGGTTTAAAAGTATTTCTTTTGTTATAAGTTTGCCGCTCTCTTTGTCTTGGACCGAATTTATCTTTTTTTGCTTTGTTTCTCTCTCTGTAGATATATTATATATTACATATAATATGTATATATAATATTGTATATTATTATATATATATATATATTATTATTTATAGTTGCTTCATTCTGATGCTAATTATTACTTTGAGGTTTTTTACGAGAAGAATTATTAAACCCTCAATAATAATAATAGTAATACTCATACTCATACTAAATAATAATAATATTCATAGCATTAATAATAATAATTAATACTAATAATTAATAATAATAATAATAATGCAAGCAAAGGCATGCGGGGTTTACAGCTGCCTGTACACCTCCGCATGGTGAGGCTAGCAGCAGACTTTTGCTTCTCAGCGTAAACCCTAAACCCTAAACCCTAAACCCTTGACGTTTATAAGCTCTGTTTAAGGGCAAACCCTAAACCCTGAGGTGTACGTACACAGCAGCACGAGGAGTGCTTCACTAGACAGCAGAAGACTCTGCAACAGCTAACAAAACCCTAAACCCTAAACCCTAAAAGATGAAAGGATTAATAACTCGTACTCTGCGGTGTATATACACCCGAAGGAGACAGACAGAAAACATTTGCTCTCGCCTACTAAACATCTAACGCACAGGGTTTAGGGTTTAGGGCTTAGGGCTTAGGGTTTAGGGTTTAGGGTAGTGGAGGTGGTTTTCGTTACTGGATTTAGGGTTTAGGTCCTCTAAGACCAGAGATGTTTAGGGTTTACGTTAGATGGTCTAGGGTTTAGGGTTTAGGGTTTGGGGTTTATCAAACCCTTGCATAGATCTGCTGAGCGGCCCCTCGCTGAACCCTAAGGCTTAAAGAACTAAAATCCTAGGCCTGCAATTAATTCAAGTGGATAGGGCTTAGTGATTAGGGTTTAGGGTTTAGGGTTTATTGATTAGGGTTTAGGGTTTAGGGTTTACACAGGATGTGCCTACAACTCAAAGAGGCCTGCGCCTCAGCCCCAACAGCGTCACCAGGGCCTCAAACCCTAAACCCTAACAATAGTATAAAAGAAATATAATTTATATACAAATATATTTTATATATAACCCTTTGTTTTTTAGGGTTTAGGGTTTAGGGTTTAGGGTGTATATGGAGGTTCAGCTACAGCAGCCTTCTAGCCTCTTTTCGGCAGTCCCTGGGGCCCCACACCAGTAGGGTTTAGGGTTTAGGGTTTAGGGTTTAGATTAATATGGTGGCTGGAGCATCACTAACAAAACCAAGAGGCGCAGCAGCAGCAACAAGAAGAAGAGACTGCTGCGGCTGCAGCATCACCGCAGCAGCAACTCGAGCAGCAGCGGAGCAGCAAACCCAGCAGCAGCAAGACCATTGATCAGCAGCAGCAGAAGCAGAAGCAGCAGTCCGTGCAACATCAGCAGCAACAGCACAAATAACAGCAACAGCAGCAGCAATAGCAGCAGCAGCAACAACAGCAACAGGAGCAGCAATAGCAGCAGCAGCAGCAGCAGCAGCAGCACATTGATACTTCGCCCAATGAATGCCTCGTTGAGTTCTCTCTACGCACGCCAGTGGCAGAAGCAGCAAGCAGAAGAGCAGCAGCAGCAGCAGCAGCAGCAACAACAGCAGCAACGAAAGAAGCAGGACTCCGACATTAGGGGCTCCCTGCAGGCTGCTGCGCAGCAGCTGCAGCAGCAGCTGCACCAACGTGGAAAAGCTAAGGAGCAGCAGCAGGAGCAGCAGCAAAGTGCTGCTGCCCCTGCTGCTGCTGCAGTTGTAGCGCAGCAGAATGGGACAGCAGCAGCAGCAGCAGCAACATCAACAGCAGCAGCAGCAGCAGATGGTTCTGATGCAGAGAGCCGGAAGGCGCAGCAACGACGGAGAGCCGCTCGGCGTTCTGCAACTGCAGCAGTAGCAGCAGCAGCAGCAGCTGCTGCTGCTGCTGCTGCTAGAGCTGAGGCCCAGGGCTCCGGGTCTGTGATGCGCGGCGGTGCTGCTGCAGCACCAGAAGCAGCAGCAGCAGCAGCAATAGCGCCAAGCAGGCTGCCTGAGGTGTCTCTCGCTACCCTTGTTGGTGTATCCGCTGCTGTCAAAGACAAAATAAATAAACATATTATTCTCCCATTCCTTGTTAATCATCTACTTGAAAACCAGCAGCAGCAGCAGCAGCAGCAGCAGCAGCAGCAGCAGCAGCAGCAGCAGCAGGAGCTTGAGGTGGACTGGGAGAAACACGGCGAGGAAAGCAAAGAACAAAGCAGCAGTACTGCAGCAAGCAACAGCAACAGCAGCAGCAGCAGAAGCAGCAACAGCCTTGTTTGTTCACGTGGGGTGCTGCTGTGGGGCCCACCTGGCGTAGGCAAGTCGCACCTTGCTGCTGCTGCTGCGCGCACCCTCCACGACATACTGCAGCAGCAGCAGCAGCAGCAACAGCAGCAGCCACAACAACAACAGCAGAAGCAGGAGAGCTCGTTGGACAGCAACGACAGCAGCAAGAATGAGAACGGCAGGAACAGCGGTGATGAAGACAACAGCAGCAGCAACAACAGCAACAGCAGCAGCAGCAGCAGCAGCAATGCGTTGCGACTGTACAATTTGTCTGTTGCTGCATGCATTGGGGCTGGGGGAGAGGAGGTGCTCGAGCAAACATTTGCTGCTTGCAGAGATGCAGCACCTGCTGTTTTGCTGCTAGACCGCCTCGACTGTCTCTGCAGCAGCAGCAGCAGCAGCGGGGCAGATAGCAGCAGCAACAGCAGCAGCAGCAGCAGCAGCAGCAGCGTGACTGGGCTCGTTGACGCCATCTGCCGCTGCATCGATTCGCTCCGCGGCACTCAGGTCTTCGGTGCGTAAACCCTAAACCCTAAACCCTAAACCCTAAACACTAGTGAAGCCCACCCCACACCCTTGGCAGCAGACGGGAGGCGTCGCCTCCCTTGGCTTATGATGAGGCTGCTGAGTTTGTGCTGCTGCTTCGTTTGCTGCTGCTGCGTTTGCTGCTGCTGCCTACGCTGTTCCTGCTGTGTCTGTTGTTGCTGCTATTGCCACTGCTTTTGCTGCTGCTGGGTTTGCTGCTGCTGCTGCATTTGCTGCGCTTACTGCTGCTGCATTTGCTGCTGCTGCGTTTGTTGCTGCATGTTCCGCTGCATTTTCTGCTGAATCTTGTGCTGCTTCATTTGCTGCTGCTGTGTTTGCTGCTGCTGCTGCTGCTGCTGCTGCAGTGATAGGATTAGCTTGTAGCTGCAGCGGCGTCCCCTTAGCGCTGCGGCGCAGCGGGCGGCTTGACGTTGAATTGCAGCTGTCTCCTCCTACGAGAGAAGAGAGATTAGAAATTCTTCAAGTACTAAACCCTAAACCCTAAACCCTAAACCCTAGGCGCTAAGCTGTAGCGAACCCCACTCGTAAACCCTAGAGCGCGGACCCTAAACCCTCGTAATGCACCTGATAAAACACCTAAACCCTAAACCCTAAAACGCTATATCTTCTGCAAGCAGTAAACACCTAAGAGACGCCTTCACTAGAGCCAGCTAGTGTGGACAGGCGAATTAGGGTTTAGGGTTTAGGGTTTAGGGTTTAGGGTTTGTGGTGTACAGGCAGTGGCTAAGACGCTGCCTTTTAAGGTGTCTGCTGGGCTAGAAGCTGCAGCAGATGCAGCTGCTGGGGCTGTTGCTGCAGATCTGCATGCGCTGCTGCATGCTGCTGCTATTGCTGCTCTTCAACGCACCCAGCAGCAGCAACAGCAGCAGCAGCAACAGCAGCAGCAGCAATCAGGGAGTGGGGGGAGAGGGAGCAGCAGTACCGCCAGCGCGCCTGGAGCAGCAGCAACAACAGGTGCAGCAGCAGCAGCGGCAGCAGCAGCAGCAGGAGGCTGCATACCTGATGGAGTTGAGTTGATGAAGGCCGATGTGCAGCAAGCAATCAAAGAAGTGCGGCTAACTATGCAAAAGGAGACAGGCGTTATAAACAAAATGTCTCTAAACGCTGAATGGAGAGATGTAGGCGGACTGCGAGCAGCAAAAAAACAAATCGAAGACAAAATCATATTTCCTGTACTCTTCCCTCAACTCTACAAACAGATCGGTCAGGGTCTAGGGTTTAGGGTTTAGGGTTTAGGGTTTAGGGCTTTCGGGGAGTAAGGTGTCGGGGGATAGGTCTGGCGTTGTATATAACACCATAGGTCTTGACTTCAAGGCTTTGCCTTTAGGGTCTAGGGTTTAGGGTTTAGGGTTTAGGGTTTAGGGTTTAGGGTTTGGGGCGTTCAGGCCTGCGTCGACCAAGCGGCATATTGATGTTTGGGCCTCCGGGCTGCGGAAAGACAATGCTTGCGCGTGCTTTAGCGAGAACTTGCAATGCGCACTTCTTCTCAGTCAAGGGTAAAAACCCTAAACCCTAAACCCTAAACCCTCGGGAGTTTCTTGCTGTGACGATGTGTATGGGGTGTCTGTCCAGGTGTATCTCTCCATGTGTATGTGTGAGTATATGTATACTTCTTATCTGCTGCTGCATGGCTGCCGCCTCAGGGTTTAGGGTTTAGGGTTTATTGTAGTTTAGGGTCTAGGGTTTAGGGTTTATTGTGGTTTAGGGTTTATTGTGGTTTAGGGCCTGAGCTGCTGAACAAGTTTGTGGGGGAGAGTGAAGCTGCACTTCGGCGTTTATTTACAAAGGCGGGGCTTTTCTCTCCTTCTGTTATATTTTTTGACGAGATTGATGCTCTCTGCAGTGCTAGAGAAGGTGCTTTAAATAACAACTCATTAAACGCAAACAACGCACCCTACTCTCACTGGCTAAGGCAGCAGCAGCAGCAGCAGCAACAGCAGCAGCAGCAGCAGCAGCGGGAGTGTGAAGGAGAGTCAGAGCGGGATAAGAAGAAGCAAAAGATACGCGATACGTCTGCCTCAAACCCCCGCAGCAGCAGCAGCAGCAGCAGGAGCAGCAGCAGCAGCAGCAGCAGCAGCAGGGTTGATGAGAGGTTGATAGCGCAGATGCTCACGGAGCTAGATGGTGTAGCAGCAAGAGAAAATATATTTGTTGTTGCTGCAACTAATCGCCCGGATATAATTGATGCAGCACTGCTTAGGCCAGGGAGGTTAGAAGTGCAGGTGTATGTACACCTGCCACACTTCGAAGATAGAAAACATATCTTCAGGTGCGGGCTTAAAACCCTACTCACAGACGTCGTGCGTCAGCAGCAGCAGCAACAGCAGCAGCAGCAACAGCAGCAGCAGCAGCAGCAAGTGGAACAGGAAGAAGTCGTGGAGGAGCGCCTGCAGCACTTCGACTTCGCACAACTCGCCAAAGAGGCAGAGGGGTAAACCCTAAACCCTAAACCCTAAACCCTGAACACTAAACCCTTTTTCGTACTCGACGCAGTCAAGGGTTTAGGGTTTGTTGCTGGTGATTGTGATGCAGGTTCAGTGGGGCAGACATCGACGCGGCTCTGCGTGCTGCAGCAGCAGATCTGCTTCAGCAGCAGCGAGATGAATTTGTTAAGGCCCTGAAGCAGCAGGTGAGGGCCGAGCTGCAGCAGCAAGTAAGCAGCAGCAGCAGCAGCAGCAGCAACAGCAGCAGTTTCGTTGCGAAAGCAGCACTGCAGGAACTCGACTCCCTCTCTGCCTTTGAGGTGTACGGGCTGTGCAACCGCCTTGGCGGCAGTCTTGCTGCAGCAGCAGCAGCAGCAGCAGCAGCTGGGGGCCCCGCTGTTGCTGCTGCTGCTGCGCTGCAGCTTAATCAGCAGCAGCTGCTGCGAGCCGTCAGGCGAACAAAGCCCTCTGTCTCCCCTCAGCAAACTGCTTTCTATGAGGGCTATGCAGAGACAGTTGGGGCTGTGGGGCCCCACAGTGTAGGAGACAGTCCATAAGTGTCTCCTTTTGCTGCTTCTTTCTTGCTACTGTCTCCTCTAACTATTCTTTAACCACTTTATTTGTCTCCTTGTCTCTCTTCTGTCTATTTCTCTCTACTTGCCTCTCTTCTGTCTTTTCCTATACATATATATATATATAATGTATATATATATATATATACATGTATATATATATATATACATGTACATATATACATATATATATATGTATATATGTATGCATATAAGAATAGATGTAAATATTATATATACATATCTAAATCTGTATCTATGTAGAAATATATATAAATAAATAAATAAAAATATAAACACACACCTTATCCATTTGCTGGCGTTCGTTAAACTAACAACAAAAGAAAAACAACAAAAGGAGGGGAGATGGTTTGCTGCAGTTTTGCAGCTAAACCCTAAACCCTAAACCCTAACATGCATGCAATTGACCCCCCAAAACGCAGACAGCACGCAGCTGGTGCTACCACTACTGCTCTGCCGCTGCGATTGCTGCTGCTGCTGCTGCTGTTGCTGCTGCTGCTGCTGCTGCTGGTGAGACCTGCACGCTTCCGCGCTGCTGCTCCTGCTGCTGCTGCTGCTGCTGCTGCTGCTGCAATGGGGGGCAGGCAAATGCCCTGGCATCTCTAGTTTCTACTTGATGCTGAAGCAGCACCAGCTTTGAGTGCTGCCGATCTTCTGTTGCTGCGGCTGCTGCTGCTGGGGACAGAAGCAGCTTGAGGTCTAGCAGCAGCAGCAGCAGCAGGCCCTGTGCCGCCAAACCAGCTTAAAAACTTCCCTGGGGTTGCTGATCTGGGTGTACGAAGCCCTAGCGGTATTCTTGCTCTTTCTTCGACTCTTTCTGATGCAGAAAGCTTCAAAGGCCTCGGCTTCATATCTTTACCATGTCTCCTTGAGGGTTTGCTGCCTCTGCTGCTGTCTGCTGATGCTGAATGCGAGCCTCTATATGGAACTCTCCTGTCTCCTCGTGCTGCTGCTGCAGGGCTGCTGCTGTCTTGTGAAGAGCCTTTTGATAATCTTATCATCAACAAAACCCCAAGCGCCAGTGCAGCAGATTGAAGAAGCAAAGTCCTAATAATCCGGCGGCCCCGAATAGCAGCAAGGGCTGCCTCTGCAGGGTCTGCTGCTGCTGCTGCTGTTGCTGCTCCCCCATAAGGGCCTGGCCCTGCTGCAGACAAGACGCCTGCTGCTGCAGCAGGAACGGGAGACTCTAAATTCGCACTAGATGGAAGAGAATCAAAGTAGAACGGACCCCTGTTAGCGGTGCCGCCAGGGGCAGAGGTGAATGAGTGCTGCAGCGTGCGGGTCTGCTGCACGCCGGTGTATGCCCCCCCCAAGTCTCCAGCCAACCCTGCTGCTGCTGCTGCTGCTGTTGCTCCTGCTGTTGCTGCTGCTGCTGCAACCAGAGCAGCAAAGAAACGGACAGCAACGCCGCCGTAGCCGCGCCGTAGGGCGGCCATTTGGGGAGGGGACGGCTGATTTGCTGCTGCTGCTGCAGAGCAGCTGGATCTACATTTAAAATGAGATTGCTGCTGCAGCAGCTGCTGCAGCAACACCGTTCAGCAGAATGATAAGAGAAAAACGTAAAAAGCAGCAGCAGGGGGGGCTCGGGAGAGCGGTGCTGCGCTGCATCAGCTAGGCAGATTAGAGCTGCTGCAGCAAATTAAAACAGAGCCAAGCGTATTCAGTTTAAAACTGTTTCAACGAAAACAAGCACGAACAAACAAAGAAAAGAATAATCCTCAAGGAGGGCCCTCTCCCGCCTGCGGCTGCTGCAGCTGCTGCTGCCCCCTCTGCTGCTGCCGCTTCTCGCCGTGCTGCGGCTCATGCAGCTTGAGGTGGAAGGCTGAGAAATTGTGACAGTCTGCGTAGTTTGTTCTAAAAAGTCAATGAAAAATTAAATATTAATAACTTTTTAAGTCGAGAGAGCTTACGTGCACAATTAGCATTCACCCCACAGACCGCTCCCCGTTCGCCTGCTTTGCATCGCTTCGGGCTGTAGCAAGATATTCTTCTTCTCTGTTTGGGCTTTGTCTTCGTTCAGACGAAGAAGTGCAGAGGCTCTTTTGTCTGTTTTCTGCTGTCTTCCACCCAAAAGCTCCGATGTAAGAAGCCATATACTCTGCTCAACCGCACAGCCTCCCTGCGCGGCAGTAGGATTGAAGTGCAAATTTATTATAGGGAGAGGGATGAATGACGGTGCATTGTTGCGTATACTTTTTGAAATAATGCAGATTGAAAAATATTAATATATTTATTGGAATCTATTCAAATATTTTCATGTTTATCTATTGATGGCTCATCTGTTCATAGGAATGCACTGTAAGAACTGCACTGTAATCGTCACCTGTGAAAATCTTTAAAAGTTGAATTGAATTAAACTTGAATTTGAAGTGGAATGAATCGAATTGAAGAAAAATAAATTGGATAAGATTTGAATTTGAATTCAACCGATTCAGTTTAGTGAAAGCGAGTTGTTTTAATTCAATTCAATTCATTTAGAATAGAATAAATCAATTCAACCAATTCAATTTATATTGGAGTTCAACTCAATGCAACTCGCTTTCACCAAACTGAATCAATTGAATTCAAATTCAAATTCAAATTCAATTCATTTAGAATAGATTGAATCAATTGAATCCATTCAATTTGTATTCGAATTCAACTCCATGCAACTCGCCTACACTAAACTGAATCAATAGAATTCAAATTCAAATTCAATTCATTCCGAATGGATTAAGTCAATTGAATCCATTCAATTTGTATTCGAATTCAACTCAATGCAACTCGCTTTCACCAAACTGAACCAATTGAATCAATTGAATCCATTCAATCTGTATTCGAATTCAACTCAATGCAACTCGCTTTCACCAAACTGAATCAATTGAATCCAAATTCAAATTCAAATTCAGTTCAATTCATTTAGAGTAGAGTAAATCAATTGAGTCATTCAAATTCAAATTGGAGGTTGGCAGCTATGCTTTAGTACTTCATTACTCATTCGTTATTGACCTTAGCCTAACGTTTATCCACGGGCGAATCTAAGGAGTAAAAGGAAATAGATTTTGAATAGATTTTCAACGGGGATTAAAGCGGTTTAATGGAGTTAGTTTAGAAAGTATCTGAGCTCTAGATGGGAGACTGAAGCAGAAACTATATTTTATGATCTCTTCTTGTGCATGCATGCATGCATGGATATGAATTCGTATTACGTGAGGCAACAATACAATCGAACGAACGACTCTTTCAATATCGAAGCATTAAACATTCTTCGCTAAATCTTTCAGAGGTTTATAAAAAAGCTTGGCGATGAAGCGTCTACATAAACTTTTACTCATCAGACACTGTAAAGCTCCTCATGTTCTTCATTTTCCTGTGCTCTCTCTTTCTTTCTTTCTTTCTCTCTCTCTCTGTCGCTCTCCATATATGTATGTATGTATATATACATCTGTCCTCTTTTCGTGAATCTGTGTGAGTATAGTGCACTCCTCAGTGCTTCTTCGAGGGTTTATCTTGATGATACAGTAACATTCGAATTGCTGTGCCTCTGGCTTGGGCTATTAGGAAGAATAAATGTTTGAAATCAGAGAGCGTGAGTATCACTTCAGTTGTCCGTTGAATTATCTGGGGATTTCTTCGTTTTCCTTCCATATAACTTATTTTCTTTTGTAGGTTGGCCCCTCAAAAGAGAGGCAATGCATGCGAATGCATGCAAAACGCTGCGAGAGTACTATGTCAGCCTTTGTGCATCTGCATAGGCCTCTATCTTCACTGTCTGGGGTTCGGCACCCACCACGAAGACAATAAACCCTACGAAGCAAATTATTAAAGCGAATATATGCTTGTTTTTCTTCCCTTCACTTCTATGAGTGTCTGTACACTGCGTTGAATTCTCTAAGCTGTCCCCGCCGCATTGAATTGCAGCATACAACGAGGAGAAAAACATATTTTATAAAAGAGAAGACAGCTGAGAGATAGACTGTCTGCGTAGATTGCAACATTATAAGAAAACCCTTTCTTCTGTGAGTCGCTTACGTTGTCTCTACACTTGAATGAAAGTAAAAGAAAGCTATGAAGAGATATTTTAAAGAAAAATCATAGTTATAATGTATTGAATTGACGTCGCACTTCACTTTCTTAGTTTAACTGTTGATATATAGGAGTAAGGAGAGTAGAATAAATATATCTCACTTAATGAAAGTAGCATACTTCAAGGTGGCTTGAACTATTAGAGCTAAGGAAGGGCTCACCAATTTGCTGCTACGGGCTTCGCATGCATGCATAAATAGAGGCTTTACTATGCATGCATGCAGGGGTGTTTAGTATGAAATATTGAAATACTGAGTGCTCGCATCAGCACTTCTTCTCCCTGTTTGCTTCAAGAGGAGAAGAATGAGTTGTGCTTCTTTTAAGTGTTTGTGCATCGAACATCACATCAGTTTATTCTTTAATACCCCACAAAAGATTTTCAGTGGGATCGATCGATCCCCTATTACACCTCCCAACTACCTTGGAGTTTTTGTCTTGTTTTTTTGTTTTGTTTTAATGCTTAGGCGTTTGGCGTTCTTCAAACAAACTGCATATATATATGTATATATATATACATATAAATATATATATATATATGTTTTTTTTCTTTAGGCGGGATTTCAGTCAAAGAAACCCGTTGAGTTAATGCATAGGGTTCATGTGTTTCTGTGTTTGTATAGCAGTCTTCATTATACACCTCAGGCCCCTATAGCGATCGTATCCGCAACAGCAACAGCAGCAAGAATGCTTGCTGCAGCAGCAAGGACAGCAACAGCAGCAGCGACTGTAGTAAGTACAAACCAGCTGCAACAAACGCTGCAACAGCAACAGCAGTTAGCGAAGTCTCCTTGTCGATGCAGCAGCTGAAGCCCCGCATCAGCAAATGCTAAGGGTACCGATGACCCTGCTTTTTATTTAGTGCTATTTAGGGTTTAGGGTTTCCGTTAAGGCAGACAGACAGTCGAAGACAAACAAACCCTGAAAAGTGTGATGGTCTAGGGTGTACTTGCTGCTACAGTTGCTGCTGCAGTTGTTATCGCAAGCAGACGGCAGCAGTAGCAGCAACAGCAGCAGTAACAGCAGCAGCAGCAGCAACAGCGGTAGTAACAGCAGCAGCAACAGCAGCAGCAACTCCACAGAACAACCCCACCAGCACGAGGCCCCCCCGCTGTCTTCACGACAGCGGCGGCTGCAGCAGAGCCCCAAACAAAAAGAAATAGCATTTAAAATAGCTGCAGTTGCAGCACCAGCAGCAGCAGCAACAACAATTGCTGCAGCAACAGCAGCAACAGCGGCAGCAACAGCAGCAGCGCAGCAACAGCAGCAGCAAGAGAAGCATACCCATGAGGCCCCCCAACTGCAAGCAAAAGGAAGACCTTACCGCATCCCTAAGCAAGCGCTACTGCTTTTAAACTAACTACAATATGCTAAACCCTAAACCCTAAACCCTAAACCCTCATAGAGGGTTGTTATTGCTGCAGCTGCTGCCCGAGTATGGGGCCCCTCTCCCAGAGCAGCAGCAGCAGCAGGTGGCTTGCTGCTGCAGCCTTGGGGGTCTTCTGTCTCTGCCGCTGCGGCGGTTTGCATGCATTTTATTTATAATTGTTTGTTAGAGTTGTTCGTCTCTGTAGCTGTTGCTGCAGACGCTGGTGGAGCTGCAGCAGCAGCAGCAGCTGCAGCAGCTCCTGCACTGCTGCTGTTGTTAGGCCGACGGCTGCCTCCTGCTGCAGCTGCCTCTCGCGTTTGCAGCACGAAAACAACAGCAGCAGTTGTAGCTTTTAGCTCTTCTTCTCTCTTTTTATCGCTGTACATACACCTGGAGCCGCTGCTGCTGCTGCTGCTGCCGCTGCTGCTTCACTGGCACCCCCCTTCGAGACACGCCGCCCACCCGAGTGGCCCCAGCCCAGCAACTGCAGCAGCTGCAGCAGCAGCTGCAGCAGCAGCTGCTGCTGCTGCAGTTGCTGCTGTAGCAGCAGCAGGGCGCCATCTGCAGCACCTACCAACCACCCGACCCTCACGCTGGTACGTGCCTGCTGCGACAGCAGCAGCAGCAGCAGCAACAGCAGCAGCCAGCAGCAGTAACAACAGCAGAAACAGCGGCGGCGGCGGCAGCAGCAGCAGCAACAGCAGCAGGACCCAGACTGCAGGGCTCTGAGGAAAGGGTCACCTCCTCGGGGGTCTCTGATGGGTTCTGTTGAGTGCAGCAGCAGCAGCAGCAGCAGCAGCTTCACCGGAGCATCAGTAGCCGGTTCCGCAGCAGCAGTCTGAGCAGCAGCAGCAGGGTATAGCGATGCCGTCTGAAACGCATTCAGGGCCCTCAGGGGCTGCTGCTACTGCTACTGCTGCTGCTTCAGGGCCTGTTGGGGCAGACACCGAAGAAGAAGTCTTCTGGGCAGCATATGATGCGCAGCTATTTTCACGAGTCAATCCGCAGCTGCTGCAGCTGCTGCAGCAGCACCAGCAGCAAAGTAAAGAATTCCTAGACTTCGCCATCCCACTCCTAGAAGCACGGAACAGGCGCCGCAGACAGCTGCACCAGCAGCAGAAACAGCAGCAGCAGCAGCAGCAGCAGCAGCAGCAGTTCGAGGTGCAGACAGCGTCGCTGATTCTGTCTCCTGAGGATTTGCATGCATCAGAAGGAGACACTCCGCTGCACAAGGTTGAGGAAGATGAGGAGCAGCTGCTGCTGCAGCTAGAGAAGCTGCAGCAGCAACTCCAGGAGGAACAGAAGAGACACCAGAAACAGCAGCAGCAGCAGCAGCAGCAACAGCAACAGCAGCAGCAGGCAGCAGCAAACACCAGCGTTGGGCAGGCCCACGCAGCAGAAGAGCGGAAGCCAGCGGATTCCAGCAGCAGCAGCAGCAGCAGCGCTGATCCGAGCAGATGCGTGGCTGGTGGTGCAGCAGCAGCATCAGCTGCAGCAGCAGAACAGAAGCAGCAACGGGAGGCTTCTTCTCCCGGCCAGAAGGAGCAGCGGCAGGATGGAGAAGAAGGGCAGCAGCAACAGCAGCAGGAGAAGCAGCATCAGCTGCAGCAGCCTCCAGGCGTTGCTGCTGCTTCGAGCGAGGATGGCAGCAGCAGCAGCAGCAGCAGCAGCAGCGACAGCGTGGTATGTGCGGAGACAAGTCTGTTTTCCTGGCTTCCCGTGTCTCACTGCCCTTCTCTGCTGTCGCTGCTGCATCAGCAGCAGCTGCTGGCGCATGCACCGTATCAGACTAGAGACACGGGTATGGCGTACAGAGAGACAGAAGCAGGAGGTTTATCTTTATTAGATTTAGTTGCAAAGAAGAAGCCTGCTGCAGCAAAGAGACACCAGCAGCGCAGAGGGGGAGGCCGCAGCTGCAGCAGCAGCAGCAGCAGCAGCAACAGCAGCGGCACCAGCAGCAGCGGAGGCCAGCGGACCGGCGGCACCAACAACAACAGGGGGGATGCGTCTGCAACAGCAGCAGCAGCAGCAACACCTTCTGCTGCTGCTGCTGCTGATGCAGAAGATGAAGCAGCAAGCGGCCCTACCTTCGATCCTCTCAGCAATAAGAAGTGGGAGGGGCAGCGGCTGCCTCCGGTGTACATACACCGGGGGCCTGATGGTGCTGTGCTGTCGCTGCTGCTGCCTTCAGGTGTCACTGCAGCAGACTTCCCTCCTGAGCTCGACAGCTGCTCCAGCATTGATGAACTGCTGCGCCTCGTTGCTGCTGCAGCGCAGCAGCAGCAGCAGCAGCAACAACAACAGCTCCCGAACGCAGCAGCCGAAGGCACCACCAACCCGCCTGCTGATGGTGTTAAGGTAGAATGGGATCAGCAGCAGCAGCAGCAGCAGCAGCAGCAGCATGGGGATGCAGCAGCAGCTACAGCACCACGCAGGCCGCTGCCGCTGCCGCAGGTTTTGAGCGGGCCTACGGCGGTCTGGCTGTCTCCCCCTGCTGCAGCAGGAGCAGCAGCAGCAGCAGGGGCAGCAACAGGGGAACGTGAAGGCAGCAGCAGCTCAGCAACAACAACAGGCGCAGCAGCAGCAGCAGATAGCAGCAGCAGCGGGGAGGAGGAGACAGTGCTGCCTCTTTACTCTCAAGCCTACCTGGACAGTCTAGACACCGGAAGCCGCGCTGCAGTTTGGCAGCGTGTGGGGAAGGAGCAGCAGCAACTACATCAGCAGCAGCAGCAGCAGCAGCAGCAGGAGCAGGAGCAGGAACAGCAGCACGATACCGAGCTGAGTTCTGCTGCTGCAGCAGGTGCTTCTGCTAACGATGCAGTGGTGCTGCCTCAACGCCCTTCGCATGTACTGCCTCCTCTCTTTTGTTACTGGGGTCAGGGAGAGCGGAGCCCGCAGCAGCAGCAGCAGCAGCAGCAGCAGCAGCAGCGGGTGTCTCCTTTCCCCCCTGCAGCAGCAGCTACCTGCCCAGAAGACGCAACAAAGAGAACAGGCGTCCCTCTAGTGTTGGATTATAATAAAGAGAAAGGTCTGCTGCTGCCGCTGCTGGGGTTTGAGGAGCTGCACCGACAGATGCATCGGGTCAGCACTGCAGCAACAGCAGAACCTGCAGCAGCAGAACCAGCAACAGAAGCAGCAGCAAAACCAGCACCCGCAACGACAGATGGAAGTGCAGCAGCAACGGAAACAGCAGCAGCAGCATGCGCAGCAACAAATGAAAACGAAGCAGCAACACCAGCAGCAGCAGATCCATCACCAGGGTCAGCAGCGGCTGAAACAGCAGGAGCAGCAGCTGCTGCTGCTGACGCTGCTGCTGATCATGAGGGGAACGCCTTGCGGTCGTCTCCAGTGTCTACGAGTGCAGGCGTGCAGCAGCAAGAGCAGCAGCAGCAGCAAGAGCAGCAGCAGCAGAAGCATGAGCAGCAGCAGCAAGAACAGCAGGAAGTGCAGCAGCAACAAGAACAGCAGCAGCATGCGCATCAACAGCAAGAACAGCAGGAAGTGCAGCAGCTGCATGAACAACACCAGCCGTCAGAACAACATCAGCAGCAGCAACCAGAGCAGCAGCAGAAACTGCAGTGCGGGGAAGCCATGCAGGTGGACGGCGAAGGGCAGCAGCATCAGAGGGATAACGACAGAACCGAGGGGCCACAGCAGCAGCAACAGCAGCAGCAAGAGCAGCAGCAAGGCCCGCAGCAGCAAGAGCAGCAGCAAGAGCCGCAGCAGCAAGAGCAGCAGCAAGAGCTGCAGCAGCAAGAGCAGCAGCAGCAGGATGAAAGCGACATGTGGATGGAGACAGAAGCAGAAAACCTGACGTGGCGTCTCGTTCGTCTGGCGACTGAAAAACGGCACATGTAGGGTTTAGGGTTTAGGGTTTAGGGTTTAGGATGTAGAGTTTAGAGTTTAGGGTTTAGGGTGGAGAGTTTGGGGTTTAGGGTTTAGGGTTTAGGGTTTACAGTCTACGCTCAAGGATTCAGGGTGTATAGTTTAGGATGTAGGGTGAGGCATTTGGGGCTTAGGGGTTTACTACGGTTTAGGGTTTAGGGTTTAGGGTTTCGGGCTGACGGCTTGCGGCTTGCTGTTTAGGGTTTAGGGTTTAGGGTTTAGGGTTTGTTGATTGCGCAGCCTGAAGGATCTGTTGTCGGCGGTTTCTGCTGAGAAGCGGCCTGCGCTTCAGGAATGGGCACAAGTTGAAGAGGTCTGCTTCACTTGCTGCTGCTGCTGCTGCTGGCATTGCTGCTGCTGCTGTTGCTGCTGCTGGCATTGCTGCTGCTGCTGTTGCTGCTGCTGCTGCTGGGGTTGCTGCCACTGTTGCTGTTGCCCCGTTATCTGCTGCTGCAGTTTGAGGGATTGGCTGTTGCTGCTGCTGCTGCAGTTGCAGCTGCTTCAGTCGTTGCTCCTGCATAGGACGCATCTCCGTTGATAACCCGCGCTCATCCTTGCTGTTTTCGCTGCTGCTGCTGCTGCTGCTTTTGCTGCTGCTGCTTTTGCTGCTGCTGCTTTTGCTGCTTGTGCTGCAGAAGATGATGCAGTATTACATTCAGCAGTCTGCTTCGCATGCACTTGAAAGCAGACATACATACACTTTAGCAGAGCAGTCTCTCGATGTGCTGCGGCTGCGCATCACCTGCAGCAGCAGCAGCAGCTTGCCTCCTGCTTGGGCAGAGAGAGCTTTATGCATGATATGCGGCAGCGGCGAGGACTGGGAGGAAGACCCTATTATATTTTGTGATGGGTGCTATACTCCTACACACTTTCTTTGTTTAGGCTGCAGCAGCAGCAGCTTTGATGCTGCTGTTGCTGCTGTTGCTGCCAAACGTAGAAGAAGGGCACTCGAAGCAGGCGGAGACAAAGGACTGTCTCCTGCTGCTGCTGCTGCTGCTGCAGCAAAAGCAGCAAACAGTAACAGTAACAACAACAACAGCAGCAGCAGCAGAAACGCGAACTCGAACGCCGTCGGCGCCAGCAGCAACAGCCGCAACAACAACAGCAGCAGCAGCCGCAGCAGCAGCAGCAGCAGCGAGGATCGGCGACCTGTTGGTGGTGCTGGGGGGTTTGCTGCTGCTCCTGATGCAGAGGAGTGGCTGTGCCCTCTGTGCGCACATCTAAGGAAGCAGCTGCCTCTTCTAGATGAAGAGACAGCTCTTGCTGCTATTCGGCTTGCTGCTGCACCTCGTACAGCAGCAGCAGCAGCAGCATGCATGCAAGCAAGCCACAGCGACTGGGGGCAAGAAAATCTTGAGGCTCTTGAGCGTTATTCTCCTCCTCTTCTCTTAGGTCTTCAGCAAGGAGATGGGTATAAGCCTAAAAACTTTAATCATAGACGTGCTGCTCTCGCGCAGTACAACAACCCCACCTTGTTCCCATCTGTGCGTGTAGATAAAGCAGTAGTTGCTGCTGTTGCTGCTGCTGGCGCTGGTGCCGGTGCAGCTGCTGCGGGCGGGGCAGCAGGAGACCCGCTGCAGCAAACGGAGGCACCGATGGAGGCTTCTGCTGCTGCGGGAACTGCTGCTGCTGCTGCAGCAGAAGCACCACAACCAGCAGCCGATAAAGACCGCAACAAGAATAAAGCAGGGGCAGCAGACTCATCAGACACAAGCACAAGCAGCAGCAGCAGCAGCAACAGCAGCAGCAGCAGCAGCAGCGTGTCTGCGAATCCTCTAGATTATTTGCGGCAGATCCCTCTTTGTTTTTCAGATTCAGAAGACGAAGAGATAAATAGCGTGGATGGTTCAGCAGCAGCAGCGCAGCAGCAGCAGCAGCAGCAGCAGCGTGGTGTTGGGGGAAGTAAAGGTGGTGGGCATCATAATCAGCATCAGCAGCAGCAGCAGCAAGAGGAGGAGCTGCTGCAGAGCAATAAATTCTACAGCAAAGATCCTCGCCTAAGGTGTATTGTTCAAGTGTCTCCTTTGAACGGTCTCCTCATTACTTTGCGTCTGCCAGTCTGCTGTCTCTGCGGTTTTGACGGCTATTGCCCTGGTGGTGGGCCTATGAGGAAGACAGATAAGGTACGTATATTATTTATTATTTAACTGTCTCCTTTTGTCTTTGTTGTTTGCTGCTGCTCGCTTTCTTTCTTCTTACACAGATAAAATGCTTAGTATAACTGTCTCCTTTTGTCTTTGTTGTTTGCTGCTCCTCGCTTTGCTTCTGTCTCCTTTTGTCTCCGGTGCTTCTGATCTTTTGCCTCCGTTTGCTTCTGCTGCTACTTCTGTTTCTTTTGAGTATGTTTGTTATTCGTCTGTCTCCTTGCCTCTTCTTCTTCGCTGTCTCCTTTGTCCCCTCTTCTTCGCTGTCTTGAAGATGCCTTTATGTTATTAAATGAATTCGTTAAATTTATTAACTGTCTCCTTTGTCTGTTTCTTTTTCTTTTTTGTCTCTTTTGTCTCCTCCGAGCGTTTTGCTGTCTCCTTGCTGCAGCAGGAGCAGCAGCAGTCTTCACACTTCTGTAGCAGCAGCAGCCTTCTTTGCAGCACCCAGTTCAGCAGCAGCAACAGCAGCAACAGCAGCAACAGCAGGCGTTTTCTGGCGTCGAAATGAGTTTGTGTGTGTGTATGTGTTGTTTTTTGTTTGCTGCTGCTGTTATCTGCTGCTCTTATCTCTTGCTCCTCCCTCTACTCCTTCTGCTGCTGCTTCATCATCATCATCATCATCATCATCATCATCATCTGCTGCTGCTGCTGCTGCTGCTGCTGCAGGCGAAGGTGTGGGCTCATTTGCGTTGCGCGTTGGCAGTATGCGGCGTAGTGCAGGAGGAAACAATTACGGTGTCTGTTGAAGAGAGCCGAGGGAAGCTTCGTTGTTTAGTCTGTCATCACTGCGGCGCAGCACCCGTTCAATGCTCATATTTAAATTGTTCGCGACCCTTTCATGTATCCTGTAGCACTGCGAATAGGCTGCTGCAGACAGACTGGGATCAAGGAAGGCCTCTTGTCTTCTGTCACGCACACTCTAAAGACAGGGCACCCACGCTTGTAAGACTATCAGTCTTGCTGCTGTTGCTGCTGTTGCTGCTGTTGCTTATGCTGCTGCTGATGATGATGCTGCTGCTGTTGCTGATGCTGCTGCTGTTCCCCTTGCTGCTGATGATGCTTCTGAGGCCGATGGTAATGCTGTTGCTGATGCTGATGGTACTGCTGCTGCTGTTGCTGATGCTGCTGATGATGCTGCTGTTCCTGTTGCTGCTGATGATGCTGCTGATGCTGTTGCTGATGCTGATGGTATTCCTGCTGCTGCTGCTGCTGTTACTGCTGCTTGTACTTTCCTGTCGGCGCTGAAATTGCATGCACTCTTTCCCTGTGTTGTGCTGCTGCTGTTGCTGCTGCTGCTGCTGCTGTTTAGATATTGCGGCGTTTTCAAGCGAATAGAGAAAAAGAAAGAGTGAAGACACGCGTGCAAGATCTACCAGGGGAGACAGATTTAAACAGAAGGAGACTCTGTCTAGACACCGCAGATCTTCTCTTCGCCACGCCGCAGCAAACTGCTGCAGCAATTCAGGACTTACTCCCTCACCAGCAGCAGCAGCAGCAGCAACAGCAGCAGCAGAACTGCCTCGAGCGGCGCAAGGAACAGCAAGAGGAATCCGAAGGGAAGCAGCACAAGAAGCCTAATGCAACTGCTGCAACAGCAGCAGCAGCAGCAGCAACAGCAGCAGCAGCAGCATCAGCGGCTGCTGCTGCAGCAAGTCCCAAGGAAAGCAAAGGTGCAGCAGCACACTCGAAGCCTCCAAGCCCCACCGCGAGAGACAAAAAAGACGGAGTAGAGAACAGCCTGCTCACCAGGAGAGGGAAAGCAGCAGCAGCAGCAGCTGCTGCTGCTGCTGCTGCTGCACGAAAGTCTCCAGGAACATCCACTGCGCCAGACGAGAAGGAGCGACAGCAGCCGCAGAGGCGCAGCAAAAGCCTGCGGAACAAACAGCAGCAGCAGCAGCAGCAGCAGCGCCAGCAGCAGCACGCCCGGTCTACAGCGAAGCTGATGAGGAGGGCTTCAGTTGAGGGGGATGACAGCTGCGAGGAGACAGAAAATTTGCTGTCTCCTTCGAATGCTGATTGTGCACTTGCTGACCCAGCAGGAGCAGCAGCAGCAGCAGGTGGAGGTGAAGAGACACCTGAAGTTGCAGAGGTTGGAGACGCAGGAGAAGCAGCAAGGATAGCTGGCTGTCTCTTTGCTGCAGCAGTACCTGCATTTGTATGTGACGAGAAAATATTTCAGTGTCTCTTTTTGTCTTTAAAAGGAGACAGTGCAGACGAAGGAGACGCTAGGATCCCAAAGACATATAAAGAACTCCTCAACCATCAACGGCTGCTCTCGCGCTGCTGCTTGCTGCAGGCATTTGCGCTGCTGCTTGCTGCATGCGGCGTGAGGGCAGACAGCAGCAGCAGGAAGCAGCTGCAGCAGCTTGCTGCAGCTGTACGAGATTTGAGTATCGAAGATACGGCAGCAGCAGCAGCTACTGCTGCTGCTGCTGCTGCTGCTGCAACGCCCACTGCAGCCACCCCTGCTGCTGCGGGGACTCCACCAGCAGCAGCTCTCAAGAACGGCAGCAGCAGCAGCAGCACCGGCAAGTCGGGTCTTGCATCTGGGAAGCCTTCTGGTCCAGCGACAGCAGCAGGAGCAGCAGCAGCAGCAGCTGCTGCTGGTCCTCTGCACTCTCAGCGCAAGGCTCCTGCAACAGAAGGAGGGGGGAGAGCAGCAGAGACGAAGCTTGCTGCATTATCTCGCCTGTCTCTTTTGAATAAAACTGCTGCTTGCTCTCTCTGCGGGCGTACGGGCTCTAGCTGGTCGCAGCAGCAGCAGCAGCAGCAGCAGCAGCAGCAGCAGGGGCACGGCGAGCAGCTGCAGCGGTGCCAGGTATGTAATGTGAAAGTCTGCAGGAGCTGCTGGGGGGCCGTGGAGAGACAGCCGCTTAGCGCGTCTCTCCTGAGCGAAGCAGCAGCAAGAGCGGTGAGGCTGCAGCGCCGACGTGCGTGGAAAGACAGCAGCGCGAAGCAACCAACAGCAGCAGCAACAGCAGCAGCAGCAGCAGCAGCAGCAGCAGGAGGGGCAGGACATGGAGATGATGCCAGCGGGCCTGGTGAAGAGACAGCAGCAGATGCATGGGTATGTCCTCGCTGTGAGTGCTTCCTCTCTGGCGACTTACCTTCTGTTGCAGCAAGCCGCTGTCTTCTCTGCAGCAGAATAGACGGTCTGCTGCTTAAAAGGGCTGAACAGAAAGCCTCAGGGTAAGCTGCTGCTGCTGCTATTGCTGCTGCTGCTGCTGCTCTTGCTGTTGCTGCTGCTGCAAGAGTTGTCTTTGTAGCTGTGCTGCTGCGGGTATTGCTTTAGCTCCGTTCACCCCCACCGCTGCCTCTCTTATTGATGCTGCTGCTGTTGCTGCTGCTGCTGCTGTTCAGGAGCAGCAGGGCTCCTCACCCCACAGATCCTTTGTATGGGGAGAGCCAGTGGTTTCACTCTCTCTGCGCTGAAGCCCTCGTCCCTCCTCGGTTTGCTGCGCTGCCGACTGAGTCGTTGCGAAGTATAGCAAGGACAGCCTTCGATAAACCCTGCTGCTACTGCGGACTACAGGTTAGGGTTTAGGGTTTAGGGTTTACGGTTTTAGGGTTTAGGGTTTAGGGATTTAGGGTTTAGGGTTTATGATGACTTAAGGTTTAGGGGATTAGGGTTTAAGGGGGCCTGGGTTTTGGCTTTGGGGGGTTTAGGGTTTAGGGGTTTGGAGGGTTTAGGGTTTAGGGTTTAGGGTTTGGGAGTATCTACGGGTTTTTTGTGTGCAGCAAGGCGCAACAACCAGCTGCAGCAGCAATGGGAACGGCATCCGCTGCTCTTACGTGTACGTTTCCCTCAGTTGCAGCAGCAGCAGCAGTAGCAGCAATAGCAGCAGCAGCAGCAATATCAGCAGCAGCAGCAATAGCAGCAGCAGCAGCAACGCTAGTCGCAGCAGCAGCAGAGACAACAACTGCATCAGAATCTTTCTAAAGGTGTGCCTATATTTTTCTGTTGTGTGCGTTGCCGCTGCTGCTGCTGTTGCTGCTGCTGCTGTTGCTGCTGCAGGTTTCATGTGTCTTGCGCGCGTGTGCTTGGCTGCCGGATGGAGGGGCACCACGGGACAGCACACAAACTGCAGTGTATACATCATTCGATGCAGATGCAGACGAAGGGGCAGCCTACTACAAACAAGGCTCCTGCAACAGCTAGAGCAGCAGCAGCAGCAGCAACTGCAGCAGCAGATACCAGACTGGCGAAGGGGGGCCCCACACTCTTCAAGAATACCGACCCCCTATTTCTTATCGCCTCTAATCCTATTGATTACTTACAGGTTAGATATTTGCGTTGTTGTTGCCGCTGCTGCTGCTGCTGCTGCTGCTGCTGCTGCTGCTGCTGCTGCTGCGTGCGACCAGACTGGTACTGGTACTGGTGCTAATTGGGTTGCCTGTGCTGTCGCTGCTGCTTCTATTGGTGCTGCTGTTTCTGTTGTTTTGCTGCTGCAGTTGTTTGTGTTGCAGTTCTTGCTTGTGTTACAGTTCTTGCTTGTGTTGCTGTTGCTGCTGATGGTATTGCTGCTGCTGCTGCTGCTGCTGGCTAAATGAGGTGCAGCAGGGGGACCGCATGCACGTTGCTTGTTAAATGATTTTTTCTTTTTCTTTTTTTCTGTTGTTTGTTTGCAGCATAACTTTCTTCCGGGGGTTCTTCTGGCTGGGGCGCCGCAGTTAAGGCCCTCGCGCACAGGAGCAGCAGCAACAGCAGCAGCAGGCGGAGCAGCAGCAGCAGCAGGCGCAACAGCAGCACCAGCAGCAGCGTCCACAGGAGCAGCAGCAACAGCAGAAAGCAGTAGCGAGGACAAAACTATGGAGAACGGGAAGGGAGGAGGGCCCCTCTCTGCTGCAGCAGCAGGAGCACCTGCAGCAGCAGCAGCAGGAGCACCTGCAGCAGCAGAAGCAGATTCTGATGATGACTTTGAGGGCGGCAGCAAAACGCCAGCACCTCCCTCTCCAATGCATCTGGCAGAGCAGCGGGAGCTGCTGCAGCTAACCCGGGTTGTTGCTGCTGAGGCACAGCGAAAGAGAGGAGGCGAGGAGGCCCCTCTCTTTGCTCACGCAGCAGAACCAGAACCAGCAACAGCAGCAGCAGCAGAAGCGGAAGCAGCAGCAGCAGCGGAGGGAGGCAGCAGCAACCAAGAGAATCTGCTGCTACCGCGAGCGAAGCAAACCGGCAGTCCTAACAAACGCTCTTGGAACTTGTTAGACGCAGCAGACAACGAACAGCAAGCTAAGCGGAGACGCGAAGACAACACAGCAGCAGCAGCAGCAACAGCAACAACAGCAGCAGCAGCAGCAGCAGGGCCCCGCATGCCAAGGCCTCCCCCACCGCAAGTATCAGCATCTGCTGCACTGCTTTCTGCGCAGTGGTATGGGGGTGCATGCGGCAGTTTGCTGCCTTTGGGTGTCTCCTCTTCGGCTGCAGCAGAAGAAGCAGCGCCACAGCAGCAGCAGCAGCAGCAGCAGCAGCAGCAGCAGAACTCCGCGGACACCTCAGCAGCAGAAGATGCAGACGCAAAGCCTGTCTTCTGCCCCATATGCAACGGCCTTTATAAAGAACTGCCGGGGGGCGGCCCTGGAGACGGTCTGCACTGGATTGGCTGCGACTGTGAGACCTCCCTATACACCTCCCCACCTAGCTAGCTAGCTGGCTATCTAGCTAGCTAGCTAGATAGCTAGATAGATAAGCAGATGGATAGCTATCTATCTAGCTAGCTAGATAGCTAACTAGATACATAGATAGATAGATGAATTGTTTAGCTAGCTGTCTTTCTCGCTCGCTTTTTGGCTAACTATCTGCCTAGCTAGCTATGAAGTAAACTATCTAGCTAACTAGCTAGCTAGCTAGCTGGGTGTGTGTGTGTGTGTGTGTGTATGTGTTTGGTGTTGCTGCAGGTTGTTTGCAGTGGTACCACTGGCTGTGCTCGGGGTATACAGACGATCAGCCGCCTCCAGCAAACGAAGACTGGTATTGCTACTTCTGCTCAACGCGGGTGCGCGCTGCACTCGAGAAGAAGAACAGAGAGAAGCTAGCGGCGAAGGCAAAGCAGCAGCAGCAGCAGCAGCAGCAGCAGCAGTTGCAGCTGCAGCAAGTTCATAGTGCACCGCCCAAGAAAGTCCACGCGTGAGCAGCAACACACTCTCCTTGATGCATGCGGTAAATGCATCTTCTCTTTGTCTGTCTGTTTATCTCTGTCTCTCTCTCTCTCTCTCTCTCTATATATATATATATATATATATATCTACCTCTCTCTGTCTGTCTCTGTCTCTCTCATTGTCTGTCTGTCTGTCTCTGTTTCTCTTGTCTTGTCTCTCTGTCTCTCTTTGTCTCTGTCTCTGTCTCTCTTTGTCTCTGTCTCTGTCTCTCCCTCTCTCTGTCTCTCTGTCTTCTGTCTATCTGTCTGCCTCTGTCTCTGTCTCTCTGTCCTTGTCTGTTTGTGCGTATCTGTCTCCTTTTGTCTCTCTCTGTTTTCTTTTGTCTCTGCTGCTCTCCTCATGTCTTGCAGCAACTGTTTCTGCTTTTGTTTGGGGCTGGCGTGTGCCTGAGTGTCTCTCTTTTTCTTTTTCTCTGTCTCCATTGCATGCATGCCTATTATCCAGCAACCCCATTTAGCCCCTATAAACATTTTTAGGGTTTAGGGTTTAGGGTTTAGGGTTTAGGGTTAGGGTTTAGGGTTTGTGTGTTTTGGAGAGCAGGAGGGGCTCCAAGCGCTGACTTTGAGGTGTACGTACACCACAACTACTGTAAGCCGTTTGGAGGCTTATTATTGTCTATTCACTTTCGCTTTTTGCTGCTGTTCATGTGCCTTTTTGTGTCTCTTTAGAGACACCAGCAGTAGAGCAGCGGCAGCAACAGCAACACCAGCTGCAGCAGCTGCAGCAGCTGCAGCAGCAGTAGCATCTGCAGCAGCTCCAGCATCTGCAGCAGCTCCAGCAGTAGCAACACCTGCAGCAGCTGCAGCAGCTGCAGCAGCAGCAGCGCCTGCAGCAGCTACAGCTGCAGCACCTGCAGCAGCTCTAGCTGCAGCAGCAGCGCTTGCAGCAGCAGCAGCAGCAGCTAGATCTCCTGAGAGTATTTGTCTGGGGACGCCTGGGATCCGATAGAGACAAAAGAAGTTGGCTTTTGTCTTTCTATTTATTTTGTTATTGTCTCTTTGTCTTTATTTTTATTTTCTTGCAGTCTCTGTCTCTCTATTTATTTTAATACTGTCTCTTTGTATTTGTTTTATTACCTTTTGCCTTGTGTCTCTTTGTCTTTGTATTTCATTTATTTTTCTGTCTCTCTCTTTCTATTTATTTTATTACTGTCTTTGTCTTTATTTTTATTTCTGTTGGTCGTCTCTTACAGCTGTTGCTGCACAATTGCAATTAAACACTCTCTCCAGACGATTATTATAAATATATATATATATATTTATATATACATTTATATATATGTTTATACATAAATATATATTGTATAGTTTGTATATTTCTTTCTTTCATGTTTGTATTGGCCCCTATTGGTGTATTAATTTGCATGTTGCCTTCAAACCGAGGTGAAGGAGAGTTTGTTGATGTTCTTTGTTTGTTTTTGTTTATCTTTTTAGTGGCATTTATTTGTATTATTATTGAGCTGTACGTACACCGCATTTGCATGCATGCATCCTGATAGTCATTGTAATAATATTATTATTACTATTACTGATGTTTTATTGTTAGTTATTAGTTATTATTCTTATTCTTATTCTTATTCTTATTACTATTATTATTATTATTATTAATTATTCCCATTATATCACTATTGTTGGTCTTAGTAAATTATTATGATAATTGTCTTCATTATTATTAATATTATTGATGTGGGGCGCTGCACAAATCACAATTGGATACGAAGACGTTTGAAAGGAACAGAAACTATGAATACACTGACGCGCAAACACATCTTTAAAAGACACTAAATAAATAAACATGTTTAAAAGTATGGGGGCGAAAAGAAGAAAGGGCCGCTCACTTCATTACTCTTCACCCAACTGTTGACTAGGAGGCGGCTAGCTGGCTAGCTGTTGTTAGTTAAGCTAGTGCAGCCCCACTGTCTAGCTAGCTAGCTGGAATAGCTAGCTGCTGCATAGGTAGCTTAAGTGAGATGAATACTGATTGATAACTGAGCAGCAGCTGCTGCAGCGCATCTATAGAAAGACAAGCAGAAGACAGACAAGCGGGGGCTTAATAGTAGGCTTAATAATGAATGTTAAGGTGCCCCTTCTCGCTTTCCGTCTAGTACATAACTGCCTAGACTTAGAATAAACAATTAATTATTTAAAATAATTAAAATTCTTTCATTCTTCTCTCTTGCATATTTGCTGAAGTGTACGTACACTACAGCGGCCACACCAACCGCCTATGCGCTGTGTGCGTGGGGCATTACTGTCGACTGAGTTAAAGGAAGTTTGAGCATAGATGAATAATTAAAATATGATTATTTAATTTGCAATTAACAACGAAATCAAGTACAAAATGCTTGCATTTTATTCATGAAGAAGGCATCGAGCGTGTTGCGGCTGTTCAGGTGTACGCTGGCTGATCGCTGCAGATTCTATCACTTTTTCCTACAAAAAAGAGATAAATATATGGAATTGTTGAGAATTAAATGAATTAATTAATTAAAGTAAAAGATAATAGCGAAATAAGGGGTCTGAGGTATCATTTGAGCTGCTGCATGCGTTGGGTTCAATCGATGTGCTGCTGCTGTTTCTGCCGCCTCTTGCTGGTGTGCTAGAAGAAGAAACAGGAGTTGTGCATCTTTCAGGGGGAAATAAAGGTAATTTATTGGGTTAAAATACCATTTTAAATGCAGGTTTAGACTTAGAAGGAGTCTTTCTTCTTCCTTTTCCGCTGATCTCCCTCACCGCTCTGCTTGAGTCAATCGAAGCACACAGGCAGCTGCACAGCAGTATCACAGTTTGTGTTTTATGCATTCTGTCTTAATTTAATATAAATTTAATATTTATTATTTGCTAAAAACGTCAACAGCAACGCCAGCACCTTGCAGTGCAGCAGCTGCTGATGTTGTTTGCCTCCTGCAGCGCGTTCGGTGGTTAGTCAACACGAAACGGTTAACTCTAAACCCTAAACCCTAAACCCTAAACCCTAAACCCTAAACCCTAACCCCTAAGCCCTAAACCGTACAATGGGCAACTCTATGAGCTGCTTTGATCGCTGGGGCAAGAGAGCCCCTGATGGAGCTCTCTTTGCAAATAGAAAGAGAATGAGCGAAGCAGAGAAAAACTCACCTACGTTTATTGAACCGAAGGCCTCCGTATCAACTGCTGCTAGCACTGGAGCAGCACCAGCAGCACCAGCAGCAGCAGCAACACCAGCAACAAATGTTGCAGCAAAAACTCTCTCATCCAAAGTGAGCATGCAAATGATAGACTGTTCTCTCACTAGAATATAAATAAATGTATACACGCACATATATATATATATATTTATATTTATATTTATATTTATATATACACGTGCTAAACTATATTATTCATTAGTGTCTGCTTGTTAGTTCTATCATGCATGCATTGTTATGTTGCAGTGTAGCTTTTTGCATCTGCCCTGCACGTTTATATTTGGTGCTTGCGTATTTATTTATTTATTTATTCATTTATTTATTTCTTCATTCATTCATTCATTCATTTCTATCTGTGTTTGCTTGCTTGATATATTTGTTTGTTTTTTGCTGTTATTTACCTTTTTGTTGATTGTATATATTCATATTTATTGTTTGTTATTAATTTTAATTTTATTATTATTATTAATTTTGCGATTGTGTGCTTGATGATTTCTTTGTGTGCTTATCTTTTGTTTGCATCTGTTTGTTCGGGTTATCATTTGTTTTTCTCTCGCTTATTTACTTCTTAGTTTGTTTATTTAATTTATTTATTAATGTTTATTTATTAATCTGTCTGTCTTGTATATAGTTCTGTTATCAGTGTATAGATGCATAGAAATAGTTTGTGCTTCTATTTCTGTATTTGTTTGTTGCTCATAAAGGAGAGGCGAGTAAAGATGCAACTAAATAATAATAATAATAATAATAATAATAATAATAGAATACATTAATTTATTTAATTAGTTAGTAAACAGATATTTGTTTATTCATTTACTTTTAATTATTTATCTTATGCTTAATTGTTATGTTTTGTCTTCATATTACTATAGGCAGCTACACCTGGAGAAAGACCAAGCAGAAGACGTCAGACATACAGCAGCAATGCAGCAAAGTCTGCAGATACAGAGATGAGTAGTTATGATGAAGGAGAAGACTTTGAAGAATCTGAAGACGAAGAGGTAATTGCAAGCATTAATTTATTTAATTAGTTAATAAACAAATATTTGTTTATTCACTTACTATTATCTATTTATCTTATGTTTACCTAATTATGTGCATAGAATATATTTATTTATTTATTTTCGATTGATTTATTTTTTTAATTAGCTCGTGTATTTATTTGTTCTTTTTGATCGATTGATTTATCTAGTTAGCTAATCTGTGTACTTATTTATTTATTTATTTATTTACTTATTTATTTATTTTTGCTTTATTTATCTGTTTGTTATTTATTTATTGGTGTGCAGCTCACAACAAGCGACGTACGCCAAAAGAAATTAATGACTTATAGACGAACGCTTACGAAGGTAGTGAAGCTGAAGACTCATTTATTAAATGCAACAGTTAAGGTTACTTGTTCTAGAGACGGCAAAGAAGTAGAATGGTATAAAGGGCATTCAGCAGAAGGGGGAAAGGCAAGACCTGTAGGATCTCTGCCCGTTGAAAAGGTACCTTAAACAACCCTAAACCCTAAACCCTAAACCCTAAACCACCGATACTCGAATTCAAAGCCTAAAACACCTCAGACCGTAAACCCTATACACTAAACCTTAAACCTCCGAATGAATTAGTGAATAAGGATTAAAGCAAATGAAACCCTAAACCCTAAACCCTGAATGCGGGACTCTAAACAAATTCAAGTAAATAAAACTGCAAACCCTAGTAGGGCTAAGGAGTTGTTTGTTTAAACCTTTCTCTGTTTGCTTTCTCTATTTGTCTGTAGTTCTGCTCCTTTAATGCATTTATTTTTTATACTCTCAGCAACACTAAAAGTTTAATAAGGATTAAACCGACTTTATTTGGCTTAGAGATTGTATCGTTTGCTTTTCATTTCATTGCTTTGTTTTTGCTTCTGCATATATTATTTATATTTTTAAACTAATTATTTATTTATTTTATTTATTTACTTATTTGCAGATTACCACGGTTAAGGCACAGGCAGACAATCCTAAAGGCCTTACAATCAACGTGAACAACCCGGCACCCACCACCTTCTCCTTTACGTGAGCTGCAAATAAATTATATATATAACTAGTTTAATTAAATAAATTATATCTATTTAATCCATGCATTTATATTCTAGATGCATTTATATTTAAATGTACATACAAGCATATATATATATATATATATATATATATATATATATAGCATCTGTACGGATTGTAAAAATATGCATTTATTTTTCGGTGTTTGTGTGCTCGTTTATTTCTTTGTTGTTCATATCTGAATTGCTTATTGTCTTTTTGTGTTTATATTTAAACAGATTCAAAACAAAAGAAGAAAGAGAAGCCTGGCAAGATCAACTGGAGTCTCTCCGCAAATTCATGGCGATGATCTAAACAACAAATCAACACTCTCTGCTGCATGCATGCATGCATGCGTTGCTTAGATGCATGCGGTTGTATGCATCCATGCATGCATTCGCTGCTTAAATGCATGCATGCAATAAGTATTACAGAAGCAAAAGATGGAGGGAACCCGCAACAAACGAACAAAAAAGAAGAATGAGGGCCACGCGGTGTTTTGTTTAATTAATTAAACTGTGCTTGCAAAGATTTAAAAAATGCAGCCTGCATGCATGCATGCATGCATCCATGCATAGAGACATGTATGCATGCATGCAAAGATTTACTAAGGCATGCATGCATGCATGTCCTTGGTGTATGCGTACATGCTTAAGTGGATGCATGCATGCATCATGCATTCATGCTTGCATGTACTACTACTAAGGCAGGCATGCATGCATCTGCTAAAGCAAGCATGCATGCATGCACTGAACATGCATGTTTGCATGTTCTAAGGCATGCATGCTTGCATATACGAAAGCATGAATGCATGCACTAATGCATGCATGCGTGTTAGAGTGGCTGTTTAAACATAGCGAGAGATCATTCCGAACGCCGCATTCACGAAGACAAAAGAGGAGGGGGCGAAGAGAGAGGAAGAGATAACATCAAGTGGAAGCAGAGGAGACAGCAGAGGGTATATAGAGACATACAAACATCTCCTAAGGCCAGCAACTCAAACCGAAGCAGCAGCTGCAGCCGCAGCTGCAGCTTTACCTCCTTGCTGCTGCAGCTGGAGCAGCAAGAAATGCAGCAAAGGCAGCAGCAACAGCAGCGACTGCAGCTGAAGCAACATGCTCCTCTGCAGCAGCAACAGCTGTGACTGTTGTTGTTGCTGCTGCAATTGCTGCTGCTGCAGCGTTTTTCTACTTTGAACTGTCTCTCAAAGGTATTAATGGCAGCTGGTGATGTTAGCATATGTGCTGCATGCATGCATGCATGCATGCACTAAGGCATACATGGAGCAGCAGACAGGAATTGTTTGTTTGTCTTTGTGGTATTTATTCCATCTGTCTTCGCCGCATGCTGATGCGTGCATATGCACAAAGACACAGACAACGGCGGTAGAAAGGAGAGAAAAAGACAGAGACAAAATGTAGAAATAAAAAGAAGAGACAGAGACAGATATAAATATGAATAGAACAGAAGTAGAAAGAAGATAAAAGACAGCGACAAATGGAAATAGAAATAAAAATAAGAGAAGGAAGCAAAAAGAAATAGAAATAGAAAGAAAACAAAAGAAAGAGATTAGTCGTTCAAGCCGATAACTAATTCAAGTAATATCTTTTGCCTCCTCTTCCTCGTGCAAGCACTTCTCTCTGAAGTACATTCAGGGTTTCTTTCGTTGCTGCTGCTGCTGCTGCTGCTGTGAAGGGGGCTCCTGTAGTAGAGCTAGCTGCTGCTGTTGCTGCTGCAGCTGCTGCTGTTGGCGCAGCATTTTCTTTGCTGTTCTTTTTAATGCGAAAGGGGCGTTGATGAGGGAGGCAGCATCAAATTCGTCAGGAGAAAAAGGAGTAAAATCCAAAGAACGAAGTGAAGGAAGAGCACTGAGAACTGTCAGCCTGAGCATAGCAATAAAAAACATGGGTATGTACGTACACCCCAAGGTGTAACAAAACAACTAAACCCTAAACCCTAAACCTTAGGGAGATGCACACCTCAGCATATACTTTTGTATGCGGCTAAACAAAAATAAAAATGGAAATACACAGCAGGTGTACATACACGGCAAGAAGGAAGAGTAGGAAAGGGAGGAAGAGAGAAGCAGCACACGATGCAGCTAGCTAGCTGTTACAGCAACTAGCTAGCTAGCTAGGCAGACAGCTAGTTAGCCAGCACAAGATACGTGCATGTACACCCCAACATGCAGATGCGCATGACAGTATGACTGAAGCAAGCAAATAAATAGCCAGCAAATTCTTTGGGCTGCACATACACCCCAACCACTAGCTACGGGGTGGAAGATAAAGCAAAGAGAAAAGCAAGAGGAATGGAGCAGAGATCAGCAAACAGAGGCGAGAATAAAAAATAGAAATAGAGGCACAGGGCTATAAAGAGAGAGAGAGCGAAACAGAGGCAGAGGGAGAGAGATAGAGAGATGGAGACAGCGACAGCAACAGAAACAAAAATAAAAACAGAGACAGAAGATAAACAGAGAAGAGAAGCGGAAGCAGCGATGATTAAGTTATGAAGACCTTATGTGTATTGACAAGAATATCTCTTCCTTTAATAAGTTCTTTCTGTCTCTTTTTCTTGTGTTTATCTTCAGGTGGTGAGCAGCCTCTAATCATCGCAGTGTTTATTATTTGCAGGGCCTTTCCATTTATTGTGTGTTGGTGTTTTAGTATGTTTTGTTTGTTGTTTGTTTTTTGTTGTTGCTGTTTGCTTTTTTAATTTGGTTTTTTGCTTGTTGTTTGCTGCTTGTTGTTGTCGTGTTCTTGCGTTTTTGTTTTGTCTTGTTCTCTTTTATTTTTGACTTTATATTATGTTATATAATGTTATACCATATAATATATATAATATGTGTACTATATTATATTATATTATAGTATAGTATATAAATTTTTTTTAATAAATCAAGATGCATAGAGACAGTCTTATTACCGGTATTGCGTATCGAGTTGAATTTCAATTGGGTTCCTTGTGAGAGTGAGTGCATGCAGATGTTTATTGTTTTGTAACACCAAGATAGAGAGGGGGTCTTCTATTTTATTGCAATGAAGATAAATGCATTGAATTCTGTCTAGCTCCGCTAGAGAAGGAGGTACAGCTTGTAGTTTATTAAAAGAAAGATCAAGCCATAGTAAATTCTGCTGCGGCTTCGGTAGAAGCAGAGACAAATGATGCTTCAGCTCAGGGGCCTCTTGCATTTCATTATTGTTTAGGCGAATGGCTGTTGTATAACGTGAAATATAACAAAATTTGCGTTTCTTCTCCTCTGCATGTACACTAGAAGAAGAGGCATTTCCCTTTAATGCCATTGAACACACTGACACCACGCGAGCATTGCGGCTCAAACAAATTGACTTCCGAATTGGTGGAGATGCTGCTGCTGCTGCTGCTGCTTCTGTTGTTGCTGCTGTTGTTGTTGGTGTTGCTGCTGCGGCTGCTGATGCAGCGGGAGCAGCAGGAGCTGAGGGAAGGAAAGACACACGAGCGGGGTTGCGAAGACTGTAGCGAGGGCCGAAGGAAATTGTTAGTCGAGGAGAATTAGAATAAGAGACAGAAGCAAAATCTTGCGCTGCATTTGAGGGGCTATCGCCGTCTTGTGAATTATCTGAAGAGCTAGATTGATTGGCGCTGTTGTCTTCCCCATGGATATCTGCTAGAGATCGAATAGAACGAAACGACAAGTCGATGGGCGGCCCAGGCACAGCTACACTGTACACCCCAGCCCTTGTTGCAGCAACAGCAGCAGCAGCAGAAGCTGCAGCAGCTGCACCAGCTGCACCAGCTGTTGGACGAGCCACAGAAATGGAAGGCATCTGCTTGCCTTCTGAAGAAATAGACAGTTCTCTCTACATGCAGAATACGAAGTTGTTTATTTAGGTTTCATCGGTAGACGAGGTTTATGGTGTACATAAACTGACGCCCCTAACCGCTCACCACTAGGAAGCACAAGAGGGGAGGACTGCTTAATCAGTATAATTAACTTATACGATATACTCAGAATGATTTATATTTAAATGTAAACACAGTTTATTGAGATGCTATGGGCGCTATTTCTAATACGCTGCACAAGATGAGAAGAGAGAACTCCTTGCGCGTCCGTTCATATACTAAAGTGCCCTCAGAACAGCGGAACTCACTGAATTAAATATTTCAAATAATTAAAAAGGAAACTAAATAAAAAAATAAATAAATAAACTTCAAAGTTGAACTAAATGCAGCAACAATTGAGCCCCTCAGGTCACCTGCACCGGCGCCTCAGAGGAAGGCGAAATACTCTGTTTTTACATGCAAGAAACACAAGAATAAACTAAAAGACGACTAAAAATGAATTTAAACAATTTAAAGTTTAATAAATTATATTTTTTCAACGAATGTCAAGCCAAACAAGTGCAAGCAGACCGAAAGGAAACTGTATAGTGAACAGCTGGCATACACTGTTACCACCTGAGATTCCTAAGCTATACTGAATCGGTGCACACACTATATCCAGATACCAAAATCGACCATTCTCGCTGTAACCCCTAATAAGCAGAATTAACAACCAAATATAAGATCGAGTTCCTACTATTGTTCAGAAGAAAACCCAGAATAATAGAACTGATGCCAGACCCTCACCGAGGGCGTGGGCCAGGGTCACAGCAACGCCCTCGCACCCAGCCCCAAGCTGGTGCCGGCTGGCGAGCACTCTGATCCAATTAAGCTCCTTTTCTATCTGAAAGTGTCCTAATCCCCAAAATATTCTATAGTATTCATTCTTTTTCATGATATTAGGCCTCTAGTGGCCACGCCAAAGCTCCATTGTAGTGCCTATGCACTACAACTTCCCACTTTCTTGAGCCGAAACCGCTTCACGGTTTCGTTTATTCTTTTTCTTCTCCAACCCTTATATTTTCTTTGCATCATTATTGGGTTGCTCCATAAATCTGGGTCAGCGGAGCTATCAACTGTTCGGCAGTCCGTTAACGGGGCGGGGGTCCAGACTTTTCAACCCTGTATATTAGCCTCATCGGAACTCAACGGAAGTGGCTGCCCCTACATCTCTTGCTTCTATTCCTCTACCCGAACCTCTAGTCGGTGTCTCGACGGCCTCGGGTGGTCTTCCAGGAGTGTGTGTGCTACTGTTCTGCCTTCTGTTGCATCGCAGGATTGTTGTGCTCTCCTGTGTGCAGCTAATTCAGGTCCGCCTTGTTTTTCACCCCTACAACTACGTTTCTTCTTCTCTCTCCGCAATTACATTATTCTGATCCTATCGCTATAGTCCCAGTGTTGTCGCTAATTCTGTCTGAGTGTCAAAGTTCGTTTATCGTAGCTGAAATTTCGGCTAGACCTCCAGCGCGTGCCGTTGATTATTTTATCTGCGGCGGCTCTACGGCGTGCTTTTGTGTTTGTACGTCTCCAGACTGATTTTCTACCTCCGGTAAACTAGCGATTATATTTTTATTCAATATTTTGGTCGCCTATTTGCTCGCTTAGTGTTCTGTTAGCAGCGTGTAGTGATGCTTACCCCTCTTCCTAGGTGGAATTAGTGTGTACCGTGAACAGGGTGATGAGTACATATTTTAGGTTTACCTGTACTACTGTGGTTGCTAATTTCAACACCTTTCTTACTATTAGTTCAGTAGATAACGACTGCATGGGAAGCCTTAGGACCTTGCAGGGCTAGCTAATTATACCTCTACCTAGACCTATTATATTTTTGTGCGGTGTCGTCGCTGCTGAGGTAGCGCGCCTTGGCATTTCGGCTGATGTTCCTACCTCTGTTTCTACGTCAGCTATTCCAACGCCATTCCTAGTACATTCACCCTATCCCTTCTGGCTAATGTTTAACGCAATTATTCCTATTTTTCTCTTGCTATTTACTACCTCTTTAATTTCCCCACTGTTTCGCGGGGACGAAGTGTGCCATCTTACTAACGGACTCAACCAACACCAGGATAGAGTCATGCCCCGTCTTCGTAAGCAGGAGGTCGGTAATGAAATCCAAGCCGACGTGGCTCCAGCGACGGGAGGGAATAATTAACTGTTGGAGAAGCCCGGCAGGTTTTTGGTTGAGGGCCTTGGAGGCGCGGCACTGCGTACAGGACTCCGCGTAGGCGGTAGTGTAATTGCGCATGCTGGGCCAATAATAAAGCTTGCTGAGAGATAAGAACGTTTTCTTCTGACCCCGATGCCCTGCTGTTACGTGGTCGTGATGGTTATATAGAATGTGTGTAGGGGACTCAGGAAACTGCGGAACACATATACGCCATAAGCCATGTATGCAAACGCTGAGGAAAGGGGTGACAAATCTGAAGGCTAGGAGGCGGTTGCGGAATTCCACCTGGACGGTTGCACCGACTGCCTGAACCGCCGTGTTGTAGGGCACCCGGAAAACGGGGCACTTCGCATAAGCTGCCGGCCAATCCAAGGTTGCGCAATCGGCGGGCTGCACTGGGAGGATGGCGGGTGGCTCGGTGACGTTAGCAGAAGACTCGTTGGCTTTGTGCGAAACGGGAGGAGACTGCGGACGAGTCCGAGGCGTGCGACGACGAATGCCAGCCAGCTGCCGGTAGTTGACCTGCTTTCCCCTGGTGTGATGAGCTGGATCTGGGTGTGCAGGAGCTAACATAAGCTGGGCCAAGGACCCCGAGAGAGGAGGCGTAGGTGGACTAGGCGGGGGGGACGGTGGTGAAGAGGAATGAAGACGAGACAACGCATCGGCCACCGTATTACGCGCACCCTGTAGGTAGGTGATAGTGAGATCAGGAAACTCCGCGAGGAAATCTAACCACTGGGCGGTGCGTCCCCGCAAGGGTTTGGACGTCTGGAGCTTCCGCAAGTGGGTGAGAGCTTGGTCGGTGAATGCGGTAACCTTACCGACGCGAAGTAGGTGAGACCACTTGCCGAGGGCTGAGACTAGTGCCAACAGTTCCTGATCGTACATCGAATATTTCTGTTGAACGGGAATCATGGCCCGACTGAGGAACCCAATTGGCAGTCCAGCTTGTTCGAGTACGCCGCCAATGGCGTACCCGGAGGCATCAGGGTAGAGCTCAAAGCCAATACCATATTCATACCGTGTAGTGGAGTTCGTAATCCAGTGGTGTTGGTTCGTGCTTGTTCGATCAAGGCTTTAATAGGCGCTTTCTTTCCAGGCTTGGTGCGTTGCTTAGTTCGCTTAGGAGGTGGCCGTACAAGGGCAGCGGCCTCCGCTTCAGTCATCTCAGACACTTGCCCAGCCAGAAGATCGTACGCTTCTTCTGCTGGAGTCTGTTTGGGCGCAGTTTGGTGACCCTCTTCAGTTCGTCTGTCCATGTGTGCGCGCACTAGGGGCAATTCACACCACCTGCCATCCAGATACGTACCCAACTTATCCGATTGGAAGTTCCAGGCAGCTTTATGTTTCGTCAACCAATCAAATCCTAGGACTATATCATAGGGAACTGGGCCCACTAGATAATCGCCGGTAAAACATTCACGTCCACACCAGATCGTCAAATTCTTCACGGTTCGATCAATACGCGACTGAGAACCGTTCGCTACGGTAAATACACACACATCCGAAAGTTTCCTCACTTTCAACTGTAAGGCTTCAACCAATCGAGGGTTGATGAAACTGCGTGAGGCTACAGTGTCTAGGAGCGCCTCACAGGAACGCCCTACCACCTCCACGGGTTGTACGGCCGGCGTGCCCACGCTGCACAACATTCCTTCCATTTTGGAGCCCTCATTGACAATGAGCTCCAGCCATCACGGTGGCAACTCAACGTTTGTGACGGACTGACTGTCCTCAAGAGATGCTCCGTCATTCACTTCTCGGCTGTTCTCGGTATCAAGTGCCACCTCCCTGCTGCCTGAGGGAGCCTGTGCAGCTGTCCGTCGCTCTGCGGACAGCTTCCGACAAGCAGGCGGTCCTTCATCGTCCACTGGCGCCCCTTGTTCCTTATGGATCGGCTTCTCTGCCCATCGAGAGGAGACTGGAATGGCAGTAGGTTCTGTCGCTGCTGCGCTGATCACACCTCTACCACGATTTGACAGCCTCGCACGTTTGTCTTCCGCAACGTCGAGGCTCCCTCGTTTAAACGTTGAGATTGCTGCTCTGTCTGCTGTGCGGTTGTCGATGAAGTAAGGGTGCCCCTTCCTGTCCTCATACGACCAGATGTTCGACACTCGCGTGCGTAGTGACTCATGCCTCCGCAGTTCCGACACGTTTCGCCAGGTTTGCGCAACTTCGGATCGCCGGTTGGACAATTCTTAGCCGTGTGCCCCTTGCCTTTACACTGGAAACATATCATTTCTGTTCGGTCACCCGATGCCTGGGTGTACCGTCTAATCCCAGTAGACGCTGGCCCACGTGGAAACTCCGCTGCTCTCCCTGCCAGACTAAGTTGGAATTCCCGTTCACGCCTACGGAATTCGTCCTGTGCGGCTCCCCACGGGGCGGCGATAGCGGCTAATGCGTTGGATGCAGCTCGCCAATTACTGAATTGTATCGTACCTTGCTGTGTTACGGCCCATCTGAGTTCCGCTGGGATATTCGTTAAGAAGTAACCAACTAGGTCTTCTGCCGGTAGCTGGATTCCGCGAGCTGTGATTCGACTGAAGTTAGCCGAATAGGCGCTGCAGTTTCCAGTCCATTTGTTAGCTGCCATTTGGTAAATGAGTGTTGCTCGATTTACCGTGCAGAAATCTTTTATTAGTTCCTGTTTAACGAGTGACCAATCAGTCATGTCCGTACCGGATCGTTGCAGCTCCGTCCAACACCGTAGAGCGTCCTCATCGATATATTTCCCAAGTTCGTCACCCCAGAGCTCTGGTGGAAGACCCATCTTCCTGAACCGTCGTTCTATAAGCGTCAAAAAGGGTTCCATGTTATTACCCATCTCCCGAGGGATAGACGGTGCTGGTGTGGCCGACCTCTGTTCATTCATCTGATAAAGGCAATCTTGCAGCCATTCTATTTGTCGCTTTAATTCAGCTATTTCCTCGGACTGTTCCCCTTGTGGCTCCATTTCCGCGACCGGTTTCTTTGGAGCCTACATTAGAAGATGTTCTCGAGAGGCTAGATTGGCTACGGCTGTAGGTTGGGGTGCCGAAGGGCCGCTGGATCGACTTGATTCCCCGTACAGTGGACGTTCGGCTCGATGGTGGGTCAGGTGCACTTACCACCTGGCCATTACGTAAGTACATGGCGATTATCTCCCTGAAGCTTGCTCTCGGAGGTCCCCAGGTCCGTCGAATGGAGTTGTTTGTGTGAAATAAGTGTGTGTTGTTTTTTTCGTTTTTAATTTTAGTTTCCCGGAACAGCCTCCAACTGTAGTTAACAGCAGGCCTACTCTGTTACTACGTGAGATTCCTAACTATATTGAATACACTACATCCAGAAACCAAAATCGACCATTATCGCTGTAACCACTAATAAACACAATTAACAACCAAATATACGATCAAGTTCTTATTATTATTAAAAAAAATCCAGAATAATAGAACTCATGCCCGACCCTCGCCGAGGGCGTGGGCCAGGGTCACAGCAACGAGCCCCACGCTGGTGCCGGCTGGCGAGCACTCTGATCCAATTAAGCTCCTTTTCTATCTAAAAGCGTCCTAATCCCCGAAATATTCTATGTTAGTCATTCTTTCCATAATATTAGGCCTCTAGAGGCCACGCCAAAGCTCCATTATAGTGCCTGTGCACTACAGAAACAGTCAGTTGGTTTGGAGGCCCACCAGTGTTCTGTGTGGTTTGTTTGCAGAATAATTTGTAATTGAGGCCTTAAAGGAATACTTAATGATGAACGTAAATAATTTAAATATATTTAATTAAATGAGCCGGATTTGTACAGCTTAAATAACAGGACCTATCAATACTAATACTGCTTGTCTTTGTGTAGCGTGCCGTGTGTGTGTTCTTCTATCTATCTCTCCAACCTAACTAAGCCACGCCTGTCTTCTCCTGGTGTTGTCTTTTAATGACTCTCCCTCCTGCAAGCACCTTATAAATGCATTTGTTTGCGTTGTTCTATTTAACGAAAAAAACAACATTCATTCACCATCAGACAGCCACCACGGTATTGCGTTTCCCATACACAAGGTAATACAGGTCTTCAAACAGTCAATCTATCCGTATCTTTTGTCTCCTTCTCTTTCTCTCCCTCTTGTTTGTTTTTTTTCTGTTTCTCTCCAACGATGAAGCTCCTTTTAGGACTCTTAGGGGCTTTCCTGCTCGCCGGGCCCGCCGCAGTATCAGCGGCAGCAGCAACAGCAGCAGAAGCAGTAGCAGAAGCAGAAATGCCACTAGCTCCTCGCGATGCCATCAGTCAAATGATTTATCAATCTATTATTAATGAAACCATTCCACCCGCATTGAGAGGCTCCATTCATCGGGCCCCTGTGACGTCTGCAGCAGCAAGAAGATAAAACGTTCTGAAAAGACAACAGAAGATTAATACACAAACAATAATCCGATGAAGCATAAATGAACATAACAGCAAAAACAAGCAGGTTGTTCATATTATGCCCTCCTTTCCTGTTGCATGCACATACACATTTGTATTTTGGGTTTCTTCTTCTTCCTTTGTTGAGTATTAACTAACAGGTTATACTCCTTGAGGTGTGCGTACACCATTGGGGCATGCAAACAGGCTTCCTAGAAGTAGGAAGCGCTCATTTTATTAATTCTTCTTCCTTTTTGTTGTTGTACGATTTGCTTCAATACAGGGAAGGCGAGGATAGCCACGGAGATAGAGACGGAGACAGCGAGAGAAATAAACAGCAGCGTAGAAGCAAAAATAAAGACAGAGACAGAAATAGAGAGAGACAGATTGAAAGAGGCAACGACTGTGACATAGAAAAACGTAAACAGAGACAGAGACAGACAGAGACACAAAGAGAAGCAAAGACAGAGAGACAAGCGCAAGCACCGACAGAGAAGGACAAAGAGACGAAGTTAGCAACCTTTCTCACTTTGCTGCTGAATCTCCTCTCTCCCTCAACTAAACTAGTTTGTGCACGTACTGAAAAAAAAGAGACAAAAGATAAACATATGCTCAAAAATATAACAACAATGCACAATATAACGGCTGAGATGCAACGCAGCGTCAGTCTAAACATCCAATTAATAAACAAAGACGAAAGAAATGCCGATCTTCAGGTGCACATACTATGCAGATTGTCTATATGTATAGTGTATATTTGCACTTATGCGTATATGCGCTTCAGTCTATCTATGCACACATACATTGTAGGTATTTAGATATATGCATATATACATATATACATATGCGTACATATATATATATATATATATATATATATGCATCTCTATATATATGTGCTCGCATAGGCACATATACATACAG